AAATTGAAGGTGTGGGAAATATCTCCTAAAACACCCGATTGCTCCCAAACCCGTGCGGTAAAATCACGAAGTGGCTCGGATCCGTGGGAAACGAAACTGACGTGGTAAAGTGACGTTTCCCGCACTTCAGATCGGTGTGTAATTGGGTATTTTACAGAAGGGAGTAAAGAAAAGTATTTTATCAATGCTAAAAGTAGCTTCATTATTTTAGACAAAAGATTTACCGAAGTTTATCCCTTGTTCAAAATCACAGCCTAGAAGTTCTTGAAAGGGATGATATGTGTGTTCTATTGGTGCGATTAACGGTAGATTGGGATGTATCACATGAGTTAGATATTTTACGGCTGCTGACCTGAGATTATCTTGAATTTGAAGTAAAATTTACAATTCTTTTTCCTCATTGGTTGATCACTTTCCGTGACTCATATTCAATACTACGACTAGCATCACACAGCTCAATGTTTAAAAATTTCCGTAGATCTATTTATTTGTTATTTTTCATGCATAAACTACTCCGATGATTAGAACTTCCTAAGATAAAAAATGACTTTAATGGCGTGCTATATTTTGAATTTGATTATCCCTTCGGTCTTTAATTTCAGGTTATTTAAAGAGAAAGGCGGAACCATGTTCCGTAATTTTCTACTTGTCAAACAATTTCCCCATATAGCGTAAGTTTTGATTCGTAGGTTTGATTAGGGAAGCTCTGCTAAAGTGGGACGTAGTTTGGGGTTAAGAATCTAATAATAAAAAAATACGACAATACCAAAACGCGATCTCTAAATAATTGAATCACCCTTTAATAACTCAACAATATGTGGGAGGTTAGGGGGTGGCCCTTAATTAGATTTTTAGTGAACTCATTCTTTTTCGATGAACAACAGACGTTTGTGGGTTTAATGGCACTTAATAACACGACTTAAGCAGACCCAATTCGGGACGCTTTCGATTATTTATGGGATTTTAGGGAGCATTGTGTCGAAGCGTTTTCTTTTTAAATAATTGAATAGGGATTTTTTTCGATTTGCTTTCTTTTATTGCTTAGAAACCGAAAGCGTACTGATTCCGAATTTTCATCAAGTTAGCATGACTTCATTAAAATGACGTCCAAGGGTCAAATGAACTACTGGCTCTACCAAACTGCACTGGCCAGCTATATAATTGTAAATAATAATACAAAAACTTCACTTGAGACAAGAGCTTTCTTATTTATTTCTTATTTTCAAATTAAAAGATGTTTCCTATGTATATTTTTACGAGGAAGTCATTGAACTGCCTTAAAACCATATAACATTTCTTCTTTTTTTCCATGTAAATTAATCCCCGTACATTGTTGTCAATCTGAACCAATCATTCCATCCTGAATTCAAAAATGTAATGACTGCTTTGAACAATCGGTATAGAATCTTTACTAATGCCAACGTGCAAATTTTTTCCACAATAATGAAAAATCATTTTAAAGTGAATAGGAACGAAAGAGTCTATTCAAAACTGCAAAATCAAAGGTTTCACAATCCATGCTACGTTGTATCTTTTCTCTGATGCTCTGACTAAACTGATTTTAGCCTTTCGAGACTAAACCCTTATTTAAAACGGTCAGTTGTATTAGCAAGTGGGTGATTCGACGTCACCATCAGAAGTTTGATAGGAAAACTCATTCCAAATTTAAAAATGGAACATAGAAATCATGGTTGTCGACTATCGACGAACTAAACCTTCAGTATATCCCGAACGTATTGTTCAAAGTAGCCAGAACCTTACATTTTTGAATTCAAACTAAATGGATGTGTTTAGATGAATAAAAGTGTACAGTAGATCAATTTACATTGAAACCCAAGTATCTTTGTCATTTTAGGGATATCATGATTCTAAGTTGGTTCAATCGCTTCGCCATCCAAAGATACACAGAATATGTCTTTTAAATTTTGAAAATAGCAAATAGGTGACCACCATTTCAAGTAAGACTCTTAACGTGTACAGTCAAATTCGGATGATCTGATTTTATGAAATCATGTGGATTTGAAATAATAACTTTCTCACTCCGAATTAAATATGACACTTTAGTAAACTCGACTATTCTTTTTTAAAATAACAGTGTTTGGATATTGTAAACACCAAATTAATAAGATGCGAAGAACTAAATTTAAAAACATTTCAAACAATTGTCAAACAACCGAATTGACAACAGAATTAATAATTCTTACAGACACAGCCAACTACAATGATAAGAAATAATTTTAAAGAATTCAAAAATACACCTCAGAGTTTACGTACTCACACTACGATTTTTTTTTAAGTACTTCATAAAACAGATAGACAATCAATAAATTAAATTTCTTTAGAAATGATTGGAGATTGTAAGAATAATTTTTGTTTTAAGGGAATTCGGTGGCGTAACATCAATGTCCGCCACTAGTGTATTTAAAACAAATTGTGGTGCAATAAATAACGCCTCTTGATCGATAGCACGCGTGTGCCAAATTTTATTAAAATATGTATGTTAAAAAAAAATATTTTATTTTTGAAAACTTTTAAACCCTGTATCTTAAAAGTTTATATGATGTTTTCTTTTTAAAATAGACCCAAAAATCGCCCCTGTAATTATTGACATTTAATGTATAATTTAATGTATAGTTAAAATGTCTAATTTTTGACATAAAAACAAAATGTCAAAATGCTGAAGTATCAAATGTTTTCAAAATTCGTATGCGAAATGCTCATGACCCTTATTACCATTAAAAAAAAAGTTAAAATGGCGCCCTGGTGTCATTTTGACATTTTGAGATTGTTTTTATGTCAAAAATTACAAATTTTAATTATCGCCGCGAAATATACGAGGGCACAAAAAATAAAAGCGGGTCCCATCATTTACGGGGGCTCTATATACAAAATAACTTTTCTAGCTAATTTTAAAGTAGTGCTGTTTGGCTTATTACAATGAATTATTGACTCTCGATTGAAAGTATTGTTTGCGTTGCATGCTACCGACACCGACAATTAAAAAGTGACGGTGTGGACGATTAAAGTTTCGATGTACTCTTTGCGTGCTCAAATCTCTATACATTACGTAAAATTACGCGGGGGGTTTAACATTTACAACATCCTGTAGCGGACTACCTGCGCTGTGTACGGAAATGTGGGTTAAAATTGATCCCACCCGGTGTTTATAGGTACGTTTCTATGGTATTATATCAATTATGAATTTGTCTTTTTTACCGATAGCCATCTATCGTCGAACGCAGGACATGTAGAGAACCACTGAATGTTACCGCACAGGGCCGCATTTCAAATAATCTCTTGACGTAAAGAATCAACTGAACAAATTTGAATGTTTTCTTTTAGTGTTTTAGTTTTTTTTTAACTTCCTATACCGTTACGTTAACTTATTTTATTATTAAAATATTCAAATTAAAGCAGCCATTTTGTTATATAAGGTATCACGCAGGAGTTATTTCACGATACAATTTTTTTTTTTAAATCATGTAGATGTTAAATTAAAAAACTAGGGATTGGCACCGGGTGGCCGGGTGGCCAGCTCCAGGAAGAAAAGCAATTGTCGTAAAGACTGGATTTGAAGCTACAAATTATGTTTAAATATCTAGAATACCTGCTAGGGTCCTAACTGTATTCTGGAATTTTTGAAGTCCGTTGTTTGAGAAATAATCGTATATTATCGAGAACTAAAATGCACACCGTCGTAGCATTGGGATTAATTTGAATCTCTTTAAGGGAAAGTGGTGGGAGGTGTTCGAACATTTTCGGAAATAAATGTAAATTACTTTAGAATTGCGCATCGCATTTTGCCAAACTTGAAGTTGCTGAAAAGGGCTCTTTTTAGGCTATTTATTTAGATTACTTGCATCGCCACTCGAGGGCGTTTTGCGACATCAGTATTAATGAAATTTATTTCCTAAAAAACAAAAGAAATAAAAACTGGAAATAGTGTGGCATCTTTCGAAATATTTTCAGTATACCTGCTATTAGTGAATCCTAATGTTCGTTGTGTTAGCAAAATTTATATAAATTTACTTTTAAAATGCAAACATTATATCTCAAATATCAATAATAATTAATATTACTAAAATAGAGCAAAAACTATTTCATGAAAAAGCATCGAATATATCCCAACTTTAAATTTTATTTATTGGCAATATAAGAGTATTTCTCAATACTCTAGATAAAAAAGAATAAAAACAAAATTTCACTAATACGATGATACTTCAAATGGTAGACAAGAATAAAAAGTCTTGTGCCAAATATAACCTTACAGGTTTTGAAAATAGTTTAAAATATGTGACCTGTGTTAGAAAAACAATAAAAATACACGCATAGAACAATCATTGTATGCTAAGGTTATATGAGTTTCAATGTAAAATAACTATTTTGCCTTCAATTTGGACTTACCTGAAGGACACTATCGGCAGACCTTTAATTTAGTTTAAAGCAAACACGACTTATTTAATTAACCAATAAATTGAAACAATGATCCGCAGTAAATAATTTTAAATTTTTATAATGATACTTCTTAAGGAGTTTCAAGTTTCTGTAAGAACAAAGGAATAACGCCTATTTTGTTTGTCATTTTGGTTTCATTGTTTCTTTTAGATTTTAGTTCACACACTTTCTTCATCTCTTCTTATTTTTATTATATTTTCTTAATGAATAGGCAACACATCCATTTATGTAGATTAGATTTAATGGACTAACCCACAAACTATGGTAATATTTTCTTATATGATTACAATAAATATCTCACGATTATGTCGACGATGGTAGGCAGATAGATCGATAGAATTTATTTGGTATAAAACAAACAGAACATCTTACCATATATATTTACATCATTACCCAAAAATAATACATTTTGCACATTATTCGTAGCACTGTCCGTTGTAACGAGAAGACTTCAGAGCTTGAAGGTGACCCCACGCCAGCACACCATAAGACATATGCGTTTCGATTAGGGCGTAATATGCTAATTTTAGTACGTAGTAGTTAGTGAAGATGCTTTGGGAGATCTTGTCGGTCTTCACCTTCGGGTCCATCATAACACCTAGATAGCAACAAGGGCTAGTCCCACCCTGCACCAAACGAAGCGACAACAAATCAACAGGTATCAAGTCGGTCGCGTTTCCACTAGCGCTTCGATTCGATGGTCGAATACCTTCGATTCGGTTCCCGCGGTAGTAACAAAATATCGGAACTCAGTTTTCCGTGGAAAGTCCCGGGAAAACGTGTCCCGATAGTCTGTTCCCCCTCGAAACATGGCCTGTCACGTGACCTTTCATAAACAAAGATGACGTGGCTTTCTTACGGGCATTAAAACGTAACGGAAAGTTATTGTTATTATTTTTTCGGACATTTTTTGATTATTATGCTGGAAGTGCGGTCGACAAACGAAGGGAGCGAAGTCCTCGATACCTGACTTCGTCGGAATTGTTAGTTTCCATCCACTCGTCGCAGAGTTATGGAATACAGAAATGGGAATGGGCTGAGTCAGATGTTTATTGAATCTGAGACGTTATCCAAATCAAATGGTAGGCCGTAGGTTAATTTTGTAAAACGTTTTCGCATATAAAATTCGAGGCAATAATATACCCCACGGCAAAGAACCAGGGTTAAAATTGATTTAATTTTATTAACTTCGAAGCAGGACTACCTGCCAAATAATCCTGAGATATTAGTGTAAGTTGTATTGTTTTTTAGCAATATGCTTAGTTACATTTTCCTCTTAAAATAAAAAAAAACTGACTACACCTCTAGAAAGTGTAATGGTATTACCATAATCGAAAAGTTATGAATTTACATTAGTAAGTAAATGTTGGACATTGAGTTTATGGCATCTGAATGAAACGAACCAAATCTTCAGGTTCATTTTTATTTGACGAACTCGAATTTTCTTTTGCAACACACAAATATGAATAAAGAAAGTAGTTATAAAAAAAAAACAAGATTTTTCAGCTTGTTAATAATGGCTTCAATGGCATAAAAAATCAGCATAGCTTCAATATTAGAGCCGCATTTATATCGATTGCCATTTGAGATATTCCAATGCTAAATAAACACTTTACCAGATATTATTTGCAATTTGCTGGTTCCAACTATATTTGTTGGTGTTCTAGGGCGTTAATGTCTACAAAATTCGACTTATTATTTTTTTTTTAAATTCACGTAGCGAGATAAATCTTGTTTTAGTAACATTCAAAATTTTCAACAATTTTTGAATGTAATTGTAAATTAACATATAGCAGGGAGAATAAAGTGGAACGATCCGTTCGAGTTAAAGCAAATAACTGGAAAACGTCTATAATTCCATAAATTAATATCACCGGTCTCGAAGCAAGACGTCACATAGTTTTAAACTTTATTAAAAATGCATTCATAGCCGCTTGACGAGCTAATCGATATTCCAAATGGTCGACATTAAGAACGATTTAATTAAACTTTGTCTCCCCTGCACTAAAGTTTCTAAGCAAACATTTGCAATTCAATAACAATTTCATATAGCGAAGAGTGGAGGCCCACCATCGTTATATCACGTTAATTCTTAATTGATAATAATATTGACCAGCCAGATGTATCCGTTCGTGGCAGGTTCTTCTCGCAGACCCAGTACTGACAGTGCCAAAAGTCTAAGCTTCTCCTTATCGCGGGTACTCACCCCTCATATTCACCTGAACGACAGCAGCGTCTCAACTGTAGATCTGATAGAGAAAAGCCGCTCGCAGTCGTTGGGAAATGTGAGCAGGAACAGATCCATCTCCTACGACCAAGAGGTTTTGTCTGGGATAGAGGAAAGCCCCCGGCTGACTTATAGAAGAGGCTCGTTACAACAGGAAAACGTGAGAAATTCTTATTTGTTCAATTTAAGATATTATGATAAATTGGGTGTCGTATGCTGCAAAGTTATGAGCGTTTTAGCCCTGCATGTGGTTTATGTTTATTGGTTTAGTTACCAGTTGACTAATCAGCTTCTGCGTGAATAGTTTTTAAGCACATTTTTAGTCAATTCGAAAGATAAGATTCATAATATTTGTCCTTTTTCGATGGGCGCTCATAAATTCTCCATTATTATTCGGTATAGCACAAATGTAGGTCAATTGCTGTAACAATTAATAAATAACCTGGCAAAGTTTAGACGTAAAGGCATACGGCCGTGGCCGGGAAATATATTAATAAAAAACAAGGTACGAAAATAGAAAATCCAATGAATTATTTATCGAACCTTTCGTCATAAATAGCCGCGTCGCGTCACTGGTCAGATATTTGGATGCGAGATTACAGAATTATTATCTGATTGGTTCCAGTCGAAACTCAACAACTGCATTTCTATAAAAGACGCTTTCGGACCTCAACTGTCGAATGACTGCGAAATGACCCTGCCGGGTACCCCATTGCCTTCCTTAGTCGACGATACCCCGGATGTAGACGACGAAACGATCAACGAGCCTCATGTCACTCCTTATCCGGAGAAAGAAGAGGTCTGTCTTGGCAGCAAATTTTGTTCATATTCAAATAGCCTTTTTCATTAAATTATTAAAGTCTAACGAATGTTAGTCGCCATATACCCTTACAAATTTCAGAACAACAACCCTGATAGTTTATATTTCCGAGACGGCAGAAGAAAAATAGACATGGTGTTGGTTTACGAAGAAGAAGAGCTAGGGGTGATGACCGAGGTGGAAGCTAAACGGCGAGATAATCGCCGGACGTTCCAGGTTCATTTGTACTTATCAACCAAACTTTCTAACTGAAGTTTCCCCGTTTTACAGGAAAATTTAGTTAAGGAAGGTCTGGAGCTGGAGTTGGAGCACAAGGAGTTGTCGTTCGACGGACGGACGTGGTTCCTCAAGATTCACTTGCCCCTGAAAACCCAAACCAGATATGCCGACCTTATGGGAATGAAACTGCCGATAAAGCGATTGATTACAATATCTGTCAAGGCCTGGGTGAGTGTCTAACGACGACATTTATTGGAATGAGACACGAGTAATACCGTAGGACGACAAAAAAGAACACAGCAAGACTGAATCAGCTTTCTACTTGTGGCAAAAGAAGTTTCGGAAATATTTTGAGTTCAATCACGATTTGATACCGGAAGAACCCTCGTTTTACGACGCCACTGAAGGAGCTGATAGGGAGGAACAGTGAGTATTTTTATACGGACCGTGGGTAAGCAATGACTTGGGGTAATAGTTTACATTACTTACCTACAGGGTGGGCAATTCATTAGGGGCCTGTACCTTTTCTCAGGAACTACTGATTTTAGAAAAAAAATAACACAAAAGTTTTATGGTTTAAATTAAATTTTAAAATTATTTATTTTTTTTATATACAGGGTGTCCGATAAGTGCTGGATCGACATTTTTTGACATTTTTAGAATCCTTGCCAAAAATAAAGGTAACTTTTATAGTAAATATATCCTATACCTTAACCTAATGACTTTCGAAATACTGACACCTAATTATTTTAAAGAATTTTGAAAAAGCATATCAACCTTTAAGAATTTTTGCAATGGTTGATGTGTCTTTTTTGTTGGTAAGGTAATACAGAGATTTATAGATTTAGGAAATTAAAACGTAATCATTTTTTATATCGTCAACGATGTAAAATGATATGTATAAATAAGATAGAAGTTTAAAAATTTAAAATATATGACAGCAACAAGTAAAAGCAATAAACAACAGTAACTGTAACAATTAAAGTAAAAACTAAGATAAAACAAAATAGAAAATCTACAATAGGTTTTCAACATTTTGAATAATGCACGTTGTATAAACAACCTCTATATGGTTTATAACAATAGAAACAACATCGTTGTTATTTAGTTGGACTTCAGGTTCTCTAATACATCTTTCTAGTTTATTTACAGTAGTGCATCTTTCTTTATATACCATATCTTTAATTGGAGTTGGGGTTTTCACTATCTGTTCAGAAAAAATTCTTGAGGAGGAAGCGACCTCAAAAAATCGCGTTTGAGGAGGTAGCCCTTTTTCGTTTTTTCGAGATTTCCGGAGTTATTTGAGGTTCGATCTTGGCGCGAGTGTCACCGTTACCTTCGGGGGCCCGAGCGCCATTGGGTGCCGTAAAAAGGACCTCCCTCAAAATTGAGGAGGTTTTGAGGTTCGGGAGAATTTCATCTCCTATGGGGCCGAACGAAAAACTGAGTACCTATGTCGACGCGTCAATACTCAGGCATCATTCTGAAGGCCCATGTCCTATACCCTTCTGTGGAGTTTTTTTTGAGGGCGTCTCCTCAAAGTTCAAAAAGTTTGCTATCTCGGAGGTTTATTTGCCGAATCGGTTCTAAATCGGCATAGGGGGGTTTTTCGGGTTGGAAACACCGAATCCACGCTCAAAAACCACCTACCTACCTTAAAATCTCAAAAATATGACCTTTTTGAGTATTGTTTTTGAACGCGTCTATTAAGGTGGTAGGTCCGGTTGATCTCGGTAAGGTTCTAGAGGAGGCCGGGGCAGGAGGTACCCGATCTTTCCCTTCCACCCCCCTCAAAAAATTTTTTAAATTTTTTTCTGCAGCGTTCCTTTCGAAAAATTCCCCCTGCCGCGCTATAGGACTGGGAGGGACACCGATTTTTTTTTAGATAAAGGGCGTCGAACTTTTTTTAAGAAAAGGGAGGACGGGGCTTTCGCCTGACACGATCGGAATTGTGGGCTAAGATCTGGACTTCGAGGTGGCCACCAAATGTTTCTATTTTGTCTTATCCAAAGATTGTAATTTTGATTTAAAAATTCAGTGATCCGTTTCCCTGGCGGTACCGGGTGGTAGCCGGTATTTCATGGTTGTATTTCATTTCAATATGTGTTCGGTTTAAAATTTAAAAACTAATGTCGGTCCAGCACTAATCGGACATCCTGGCCCTAATACAGTGCCCACTTTGTACGGTCAGTAGATAACAACTGGGATTTTTTTCTTTCAGATTCGTAGTGAAAGATAGAGCGACCTCGTACTCCAGCGCGCAGAGGAGTCTAATAGTAATGCAAATCTTGTTAAGGACCAAATTCGACGACATCGATAAAGTCAGTTTTCGCCCCGCACTTAGACGGTGAATTATTTTTCATTTTCGCAGGTCGGTATCCGAAGACTCCTGAACAATTCCACTTACGTTGCTTGTTTTCCATTACACGAGAGCAGTTGGGATAGATCCGAATCAGACGGGACAATGTTGGATAGAAGGGTTTGCGTTGTTGGTAAGTCGAAAACCGCCAACTGACTCGTGGTATTCCAGTTACTCTACTTGGAGTGGGCCAGTCCTTCGAAATCGTTGAAGAGGCAACCATTAAACCTTGTCAAAAAGTATTTCGGTGACAAAATTGCACTGTACTTCTGTTGGCTCGGTTTCTACACGAAAATGCTTATCGCCCCCGCCATAGTCGGAACGTTGTGCTTTTTGTACGGGGTGTTTACCATCGACGGCGACGACAACCAACCCACGTAAATGTTTTTACCACTTTTAGCAAGTTTTGGAAGTTTTATTTTTTTTTGTAGTTTCCCATTTGTCAGTTTTCAGTTTGCACTCATTTAGCATCAGTCGCACCAATTTAGTCACGCTGTGGCAGAGGTAAGCGGCGGCATCGGAAGCTTAAAAATACTCGTGTCGTTTTTACGCCATTCTCTCCTAGGAAAGAAATCTGCGACGCCAACGGTCCCGGAAACATCACCCTGTGTCCGTTCTGCGACAAAGCTTGCAACTACACCAAACTGGTGGACAGTTGTAAGTTCGCCAGGCTGACGTACTTATTCGACAATCCGGCAACGGTGTTTTTCGCCATATTCATGAGCTTATGGGGTAAGTTTTAGTTATTGTAGGACCAAAAATATAGTCCATTTATTGCTTTGGCGTTTTAAGTATTTTAGAGTGCCTTAACCGTGGTAAGACCCATCCCAACAGTTGTTTAGTCTGCATTAAGTAGGTCTGAGATGGTCCGTAATGAATATTTATTGAAACTTGAAATTTTTATTTGAAACGTAAATGGACCGTTTTAAATTTGATTATGCATTGATGTTCCAATACATAGAAGCGTTCTTAATAATTTAATCTAAATTGCAATATGTTCGTATATATTACGGGGGTATTTGACTATGATCCTTCCATATTTGGTACCTGACATATTTAGGTACCTGATTATCGAGCTTTGACCCTGCGAGGCTGCTTGTACTGGGTAGTTCAAAGGGTAACATTTTGTGTCTTCTACGAGGGCAGCGCCAACATTTCCAGACCCGATTATGAAAGAAACAAAGTGCGTCTATGCAAATACCTATGCCTATGAAAATAACGTGTGACTATGCACACGGTATTTTCAGTCTGACTTGGAGTATAGTCTATAATACCATAATTTTCAACATAATTTACCTTGGGGTGTCGGAATATGTAAAAAATACTAAAATCCTCAAAGCGGCCCGCTAATTGTCCTTCTCTTCTTGTACTATACAGCGACGGTATTCTTGGAGATGTGGAGACGGAAACAAAGCGTCATACAATGGGAATGGGATCTGAATGGTACCGAACAAGACGAAGAACCCAGGCCAGGTTACAAACCCGAATCTTACAACGACAATCCTCCGTCACTACGAATTGTTTTGCAGAGTTTGAGACCAGCGTGAAAACTTTCCGCACGAATCCCGTGACACGAGAAAAAGAACCCTACCTACCCCTGTCGTCGAAGGTGTTTCGCTTCGTCATCACCGGATCCGCTGTGTTCTTTATGGTAACAATACGTGACGTTGATTAATTAGTTTACCGCGGTTACCTTTATTTTTAGTTGTTCATAGTTCTCTGCGCCGTTTTGGGAACGATCATCTACAGGCTGTCGCTGGTCTCGGTCATTTACGGCAGCGGGAAATTTTTCCTCAAGAAGCATGCCAAAATAGTTACGTCGGTGTCCGCTGCCATCATTAATTTAATCCTCATAATGTCATTAACTAGGGTAAGTTGAGTTCTCTCCTTGAGACGCAAAAAATCCACGTCAAACTGACCTAAAACTCTTTCTGTCTCATGAAACAAAGTGTTGCGTCACTGACGTCACGCGGAACTTGATTTGGCAGGATTCCTAACCATTATTTGTGTTGTGTTTTTTGGGTATGTGTGGTATTTCACTGCTTTTTGCTAATTATTATGCTGTTTCGCTGCTAATGACGAAAATATTCAAACGAGTTGCGCGTACCATTTCTTAATTTGCCATTGCAAGAATCGAGGGAAATTGGTTCCAAACAGTCGAATTGATAGAAGACATGGAACACAATTAGTTGAGACTCTTTTAGAGCGCAGATAAGTTTCTTTTATTTTTAATGTATCCTTTATTGGTTTACAGGGCTCTATCTCTATAATTCGCATTTTATCGCAATTTTGAAACCGCTCATTTATAATTAATCTACAGAAAAATAGAGTGATTTTCACTAAAATTATTTAAAAAAACAAATTTCCTTAACATTCGCAGATCATATTAAAAGCAAAGATCTTTAATAAAATGATACCTAATTCATTATTATAATATCAAAACTTCATTATAAATTCCTACTACCTACAAATTTTTAAATCTTATAATACATTTTATGAAGCAAAACGTAATTATTTTTTGATATGTTTCTGCATATTCGGATTCTACAAATATAGGAGCAACTTGCTTTTTACCCTAAACAATTACAATTAACAAACTTCAGCAATAGCACTGTAAACAAGTATGATAGCCCGCGTGACGTCATACGTGCGCCGGACGAAGTTAACAGTGCGATCTGTCATATCTTTGTTTTTTGTATCATTTTTCTGTCTCATATGCATATCGTGTTCGTCGCTGATTGGTAAATGTGGAAAGGCGGAGTCGCAAAACCACGCCCCCACCAAAAATTTACTTCGTGTATTTTAGGGCTACCATAGGCTAGCTATATACTTAACCAACTTGGAAAACCCAAGAACTCACACAGAATACGAGGATTCCTACACCTTCAAGATATTTTTATTCGAGTTTATGAATTTTTATTCGTCTCTAATATATATCGCGTTTTTCAAGGTAAGTCGCGTTTTTGCTGAAACTTAATGTTATTGTCATCTGCGATTTCTTAATTCTAGGGTAGGTTTTTCGATTACCCGGGCGATACCATCACCAGGAAGTCGGAGTTCTTCCGCGTCAAGGGCGACATATGCGACCCGGCCGGCTGTCTCAGCGAACTGTGCATTCAGCTCGCCATCATCATGATCGGCAAGCAGATCCTCAACAATTTCGTGGAGTTATTCAACCCGTAAGTCAAAGGATGCGCGATAATGGCGTGCTATGGCTTTTTCCGCTTTAGCAAGTTCTACAATTGGTGGCGATATCGGTCGCACAGATCTCACACCAAAGACTTATCCAGGAAGCACACCAGGTGGGAGGAAGACTACCACCTGCAAGACCCTGGCAGATTGGCTCTTTTCGACGAGTATCTAGAAATGAGTGAGTATTTATCTATCATCATTATAATAATATTAATATAAATAATAATAATAACTTTTATTTTCCAAATCGACAAATACAATGTTTGTATAGGAAATTGTCAATAATAAAATAAAATAAAATAAAAATTACCCATAATCTAAGACTACAAAGAATAATCTATAAACAAGCTTGCTAAAGTACTCTTCTACTGAGTACACAGGTATTTGATCACCAGATATTCCTTCAACGTTTTTTTGAATACATAATATATTTGAGTAAGATCACGTCAAGTGGACCCCCCATTTACCACTTGATCATAAAAAATGTATATATATATATTTATATATATATATATATATATATATATATATATATATATATATATATATATATATATATATATATATATATATATATATATATATATATATATATATATATATATATATATATATATTTATAGGTTGATTCTTAGGGTTTGGTCCACAGTGAACAAAACTCACAAATAATTTTAAAACACTGTAATTGTCATTGACGTTTCGACCGGCAACCCAGGTCTTTCTCAAAAACTGCAAAACAAAGGACAAAAAAAACGAGATCATACAAAGAATTAGTTCGCTATCAAAAAATAAAACGTCTAACCCAGAATATCTTAAACAGTAGACATATACGAATTTAAAAATTACAAATATTACAAAAACAAATTACATATATTAGTCATACTCACCAATTTATTAATTTTTTTTAAATGTCTATTATTAGCGCTGTTTGTGAAAAAGTACCACAACATACATCATTGCCAAAAACAATAACGTTCTTGCTTTGGGTACGAATCAAAAATAGAAGTGGAAAATAAACATTCATTGTATCTGAGGTCTTTTTTTTCCCCTCTTAGCTTTTATTTATTTATTTTTTTAGAGTGTACGTTTGAGTTAAGTTTAAGACCTACTGATACGCGGTTGAGCATCTGAATATTAAAATGGTCTACTTTAACAATTCGAAATAGATTTCACTCAGATGTTTTATGTCGGTTTTCGCGTTTATGGAGTTTTTATTCCTTTGAATATGTATCATCTCAATTATTTCCCTTTTTTGTGTGTTTGGTTCGGTAGCAAGTATTTTTGTGTCATCGAAGTTAAAAGTATGTGTTTTCTCCGTTATATGGCTGCTGATGGCTGTTTTGTTTTTTTTGTCGTACTTATGGCCATCGATACGGTTCTTCAACAGTTGGCTAGTCTGCCAATGTACACTTGGTCACAGTCGTTGCACGGTATTTGATATACAATGTGACTTTTTTTATCTTTGGGTATTGGTGTTTTTAGTTTACTGAAATTCCTATTTAACAAATTTTGACCCTTGTGGCAGATTGTTACAGAGCTTCCCTTAAACACATTCGAGATTTTTTCCTATAAATTTGGTATGTATGGCAACGAACAATATTCTCGTTTTGATGGTTGTGTGTTTTCCTTTACAGAAATCTTGTTGTAGAATTTATGTATCCTTCTTTTAAAAATAGAGTTAATTAAGGCACTTGGGTAATTGTTTAGTTTTAGTGTGTACTTAGCCTTATATATAGCTTCTTTTCTATACTCTGGATTAGATAGATTTACAGCTCTGTCAGCCAACCCGATAATAACAGTCTTTTTTTGTGATATTGGGTGTTGGGAGTGAAAATTAAGGTATCGTCCAGACCATGTATCTTTTGTGTACCACATCGTTCTGATTTTGTTTTCCTTGCGTATTAGTGTCATGTCTAAGAAGTTAATTTTGTCATCCTTTTCATATTCTATGGTAAATTTTATTTTTGTGTGATATGAGTTAAAACTATTCAGAATGAGGTCCTTTAGGTATTGCTAGAAAACAGTCGTCGATATATATATATATATATATATATATATATATATATATATATATATATATATATATATATATATATATATATATATATATATATATGATGACACTACATTCCGGGATATCATCCGTTCGCTCGTTGAACTCCGACTGGAATCCTGCAGACGTTTCGCCAAAAAAATTCACTTGGCATCTTCAATGCTCGCGCTCCGAAAACACTTCGAACACTCGGATAAAAAAATATCGATCACATGTTTTACACATTTAAAAATTTCGGAAGAAAATTTCACTGCTTGTCATTAGTTTAAACAAAATGAATTTATTTATGACAGCGCGCCGGACGCCGTCTCGAACTGTATTGAACGTTTTATCAGTGATAATTAAAAATAGTAATACAAAATATTATTATAAAACAAATTTTATTATTTATGTTATTTTATTATAATTATTATTAATAACATTTTATTTTTTTAACAATATTAGCAAATCGCATACTGAATAGAACAAACATGCTTAAATAATTAAGTTGTAAATTTGTCGTCATTTATTTATTTATTTTTTTTAAACTTATTTTTTTTTTAAATAAATACTTTTTCATCCTCTGAAACGAGCCTGCATTATAGTGAAAAATTTTCCAATGGTTTGTAATAATGAAATTCGCGAGTATTTTTTATTATAGTTAAGCGTTCGAATCTTGGTTGATATTTAAAAAAAAAACTTTGGACCCACTGATTAAAGGAAAGTGGGGTTTTTATGTGGTTGTTTTTATCAGGCTGGCACGATAAGCTTGTCTTTTTACACTCCCTGCTAAGCCATCACACGCTCCTTTACCAAAGAAGAGCAACGACTTTTAAAAGCACGTTTTTATCTATGAATTTTCCAAGAAACTTTATATCATCGCAAATCTTCAATATTTATGTGAAAAGTCTCCACATGGCTTTTACTGTGATGGGATCTTCTAAAAGATGTTTTTAGCGTATTAAGGTATAAGTTATTATCATTAAACCGAGAGAAATAATCTTTCCAATTTTTTGGGTCGAAGGACATTTTCCTTCATAAAAAATGGGTATATAGCTTTCTAATGAATCTTAAGGGGTACTTGATCAAAAAATTCGGTATATCATCACATCCAGCTGAACGTATATTTTTAAGGTTTTTAATGAGTCAACTGAATAGCTCCTCTTCAAGAAGAGTTATTATAACATTTCGACGTTCTGGAAATTCGAGTTTTTTTTATTTATTTCCATATAGTTACTATGCGGCCAGTACAGGATCTTATGAAGCAACTACGTAATTTTTTTTGAGGTACATTCGTGCGCATGTGCGAGATTGAAAATTTCGTTTTTAACCAATGGCAGCTATAATGACAAATTCTGACGTAGGACCCATAAGAACTTTCAACAAACAACATGGCCGCCGACAGATCGTCGAGGTTTGGATGCGGCATTTTTACGACAGTATTTTCTCAAAATACGTTGAAATCTTATTAAATTTTCGATCAAAAAAGGAGTAAAGGTCTGGAAAAGCAATGCAGAGTTGTTTTTGTTAGTGTAATTCCTGTACACTAAAACATATTGCCCAAACATCTTTCGTACCTATTTAAGTGTACTCAAAAATGTAGGGAATTCTGTTTAGTAAGTAATATTTGTATGTCTATTTTCCAGTTTGTTAAATGATTAATGTATAGTCATCACTGTTTTTCTAAAATCCTATTAGGTCACATTTGTTGTTATTTCGTGAAAGAACATATTATACAAGTTTCTAAGTACGGTACGGAGATATTCACACCAAAATTGGCAACAATGGCACAGGGCACAGATTGTTCTGCGAAAGTCGTAATTACTTATTGCGGCGTTGCCAATTATGTTCGGATTTCAGAGATTGATGTTGCGTTCTCATAAAAATTAATCAATCAATCAACTTAGTCAGTTGGGGGCGACGTATGCCCCAAAGATACATACCTTCTCTAAGAAAATATCATAGCCACCTGCGGCACCTCTATTTTTACCGTAGTAGGGCCACTATATTATCTTATAGGTATATGGTTATTTCCAAAGAAGAAATCATTGAACGAATTTGAACTTCATTGATGTTAATGCTCGTTTTGGTTAGCTAGTTACCCTTAAATTATTTCAGTTTTGCAGTACGGCTTCGTTACTCTCTTCGTGGCCGCCTTTCCTCTGGCACCGCTTTGTGCCCTATTGAACAACATCGCGGAGATTAGACTGGACGCGTACAAAATGGTGACGCAAGCCAGGCGACCTCTAGCGGAGAGGGTCGAAGACATCGGGGCTTGGTACGGGATACTCAAGGCCATAACATACGCTGCCGTGGTTTCAAATGTACGCAGCATTTTTAATTTTGACATTGATTTCATTCTCGTGCGTTCGTCTAACTTTTCAGGCTTTTGTGATCGCTTACACCAGCGATTTTATCCCGAGAATGGTGTACAAGTATAAATACTCTCCCACGGAAGACCTGCAGGGTTATATCGATGCCTCTCTGTCGGTTTTCAACACTTCCCATTACAACGATGGTATGGGGGCCGATGATGACGACGAAACGCCCGAAACGTGCCAGTACAGAGGTATATTGAACTTTGTAGGATTTAGATACGGCTCGATATTGTGCTCCACATTAGCTTTTGTGTTTTTCAGTAATTTTCCTATTTCACCGTATATAAAATTTTTGAGTTAACACGGTTACAAACTTTTCCTTTTTTAACCATATTATCACAAAAGATAAATAATTAAGTCTGAAAAATTGAAATCAGATATTAAATATTAGGATATTAATTATATTCGATAATAATTATCAAAAATCGCTGAAATATAGTAGACAAAATCAAAATATTATAATTACAAAAAGTTCAAGTTCAAGCTCTAGACACTGAAAGTAATATTCAAATAGATATTTGCATATTATGTCTGATCCTTAACAAGCAATAAATAAAAAACCTGAAAGTAATATTCAAATAGATATTTGCATGTTATGTCTGATCCTTAACAAGCAATAAATAAAAAACAACAAAAAATCCGGCTCTGCGCAGAGTCGTTTTAACTTAAGCATTTTCCAATACAAAGCGTATGTTTTTAACTTTTTTAACTTTGAAAATAAACTGATGTGTGGCCAATATTAAATGCGCATTGCTAATATACCCTCTATTATATCCAATTTCTGATAATTATTATTATATTATTATTATTATATAATAATATAAAACTAAAATTAAAGTTATATGCTTGGTATTAGAAATATCTTTTACGTGTTACATATTCGTCAAAAGCTCATAACAAGTCTAATAAACAATAACGCGTTTTACCACAAACCGAAACACAACCAAGCTGGCATTTTCAAGAGAAGATTAAAACTAAAGTTAATGACAAATGCTTTCTATATATATATATATATATATATATATATATATATATATATATATATATATATATATATATATATATATATATATATATATATATATATATATATATATATATATATATATATATATATATATATGATGACACTATATTCCGGGATATCATCCGTTCGCTCGTTGAACTCCGACTGGAATCCTGCATCCGACTGGAATCCTGCAAATCTTGCATCCGACTGGAATCCTGCAGACGTTTCGCCAAAATCTCACTTGGCATCTTCAATGCTCGCGCTCCGAAAACACTTCGAACACTGTTTTCGGAACGCGAGCATTGAAGATGCCAAGTGAGATTTTGGCGAAACGTCTGCAGGATTCCAGTCGGATGCAAGATTTGCAGGATTCCAGTCGCATGCAGGATTCCAGTCGGAGTTCAACGAGCGAACGGATGATATCCCGGAATATAGTGTCATCACATTTTTCCATCCGTGAATCAATACGTGAGGATATATATATATATATATATATATATATATATATATATATATATATATATATATATATATATATATATATATATATATATATATATATATATATATATATATATATATATATATATATATATATATATATATATATATATATATATATATATATATATACATCGGGAAGTGGGAGAGGGGATTACGCACTGTTCACGCAACCAATCAGCGCGTATAATATGCTAAATGGGATTGGACCTCTGTCCTTGTTCAGTGCCTTATTCCCTCTCTTAACAATTCGTAGGCATCTAATTTTCTACTATTATTTACCTGTTTAACTAATTTTAAATTACTTATATCTACCTTATGATTACTGATGATGGCTACACTTGATTTTTCTTCAGTATCATGGCCAGCCGATAATAAAACAAACAAGATGTATTCTATCTTTACAACAATAAGAAAATGTTATTTCGGAAACCATAAATTTTCGTTTTGTTTGTTTATAATTATCAAATTTTTGATCAAACGGCGGGAACAGTTATGGGTTCTCCATTATCCTCCTTCCATCTCATGGTCAAGAATTCTTACTAGATTTTCTTAATTTAAACTCTATATACTCTAACATACGTTTTACCATTGAATTAGAAACTAACAATAATTTCCCAGTCTTAGATATTCTTATTAACTGAGTCATTCTGTTTTCAGAAACCCTCCGCCCACAGACCGATACCTTAATGCATTGTCATATCACCATCCACCATTATCAACTCTCTTGTTTACAGAGCCGTAATAAATAAATAAAATAAAACTGTCTCAGCACGAGTCATTGAATAGAATTAAAACACCTTACATCTGCTCTTCTCTCTAATAGTTTCCACACTAGAGATATTAAGATTTCCATCACAACCACAACCACAAACCTTCCAAAGACAAATAATCTGGAGGTACATTCATATCACTTACCATATATAAAAAGTTCTGAAGCAATTTAACGTCAAAATCAGAATTACCACTTGTCCAAAAATCTCTCAACGTCTTGGATCCGTCAAAGACAAAATTCCGTTTCCATGCATATGCAGTAAAGAATACATTGAATACACCGTATTAACTAGACTCAAAGAACGTGAAACATCCTTAAGACTAAGCCAAATAAATTCGCCAGCAGTTGCCGAACACAATTACGAAACCGCCCCAATATGTCGCCAATATGGAAATGTTCAATGACAATGTTAGCTCCGCCTCCCTCAGACATTTAAGCAGGTACAGAATAGAACGCGATCCAGCTTCAATTAAGCTCGGAAGAAGCAAACAGAAGTTTTGTAGATAGTATTCCCGTCACTGAACTGATTTTTCTACCAAGCGAGAAACATCAATCGTATCAAAAAATCAGCTGAGTGACAGGAATTTACAGGTCCAAATCGGTTTCTGACCGCGGTTGGAACGAAACCAGGGGTTTCCCTTTAAAAAATCGAGTTTTTACGTTTTTCGTAATTTACTTTTTGCTCACTCTGTATAAATGTATAGAACAGAATAGACGTTTTGTTGATGCAATTATGGCAAGTCATAAATACAATATGTAGAAAAATATGTATATAAAAAACAACGCAATGAATAAATTATATAAAACAGTGTATAATGCACAAAAACATTACAGTGTATATGTGTGTATGTATAGAACAAGACGTTTACATAAATATAAAAAAGGAACATCAACAAAATTAAGCATTCCCTGACCGAGTAAAAGCAGTGCCTTTTAAGAAAGGTTAAGACGTTTTTTTTTAAATTTTCTATTACTTAGAACTTTTCCGTTGGCTGGTAGTTTATTGTACAAGTTAAAGTTTAGTGAATTTTTTTGACTTTTGGTATATTTGAATCTAATTTCTAGTTAAATAGTCATGGCAAGAGGAGTTCTGACGGAAGCTGGCTAAGTTTTTGTGTATTTCTAATAATTGATAATAAATATACAGACAAGGAAGTGGCATTATTTCCAACTTCTTAAAAATTGGTTGACAGTGCTCCAGATAACCTGCGCCGGCAATCAAACGAACAAATTTTTTTTGGTGTTTAAATGTCTGGTCAAGCGTTACATTGTTGCTCTCCAGTAGATAATTATTAGTTGAGAAAACAAGACGTTGTATCTTAGCTATGTTTAGTTTAAGTTATTGTTGGTTTCCGCCATCCGGCTCCACATTATCAACATTGTGCATAAGTTCATTGGAGTCTTTGCCATAAGTCACAAACGATGTATCGTCCGCTTAAAGTGTACATTTATTGGGGAGCAGAAAATGATACAAGTCATTGATGTAAATAGAGAACAGGAGCGGACTCAAGACGAAGCCCTGAGGCGCGAAACTGCTCACAACCCTCAACTCCGATATGTTATTGTTAAAGGCGACACACTGTCTTCTGTTAGTTAAACGTGACCGGATAAGATCCTGAGGGTGACCACGGACACCATATCTGCCAAGCTTCTCCAGAAGCAGGTCATGAGAGACGCAGTCGAAAGCCTTAGTGAGGTCACATAGCGTGAGGCCAGGCCCCCCACCACGTCTCCCACAACCCTGTGAAGCGCCTGCACAGTGGAGCAGCCGGTCTTAAAACCAAATTGGGAATGACAAATGCATTTACTTTTTTGAAAAAATCGTAATAATTGATTCTTTAAAAGTGTCTCGAAGGCCTTACCAACTATGGGAACTATTGATATGGGTCGGAAATCATTTGGAGAGTTTGTGTTACCTCTTTTAAATATTGGAACCACCCTCGATGGAAAACTTCCACTATCAATACATTTGTTAAATAAAAATGTGAGAGGTGTTACAATCTAGTTGATAATCTCTTTCAGAATTATGCTGATATATTCAAAATATCCACTCAATATATGACAATAGCTCATTTTCTCCAAGGAATCCATACCAAATTAAATAATTAAGGCTCCCTTAAAGAAAAAAATGTTAATAATTTTATAAAATATATCTAGAATTTAAAATACGAAAGCCGCTATTTCCCGAGATGGACCGAACACCCTGTATATTAAAAAAAAATGGGAAATTAAATCTAGATGTAACTATTATTTCATTTTTCTTTCTATCGTTCGTGGTCTTCGAACCAAGTCGGTGGGGAATCTTATTTCGGACATCCTGTACATATCGACTACTTTTAGGTTATAGAAATGGACCGAACGAATACGACCCGTACGGTTTGAGTCCGCAATACTGGCACGTGTTCGCTGCCAGATTGGCGTTCGTCGTCATATTCGAGGTTATTAGATTATTTACTATTGTTTACCATATTTACCGGATTGTTTTGCAGCACGTCGTGTTCGGTCTCGTCGGAATTATGCAGTACGTGATACCGGACGTGCCGTCCGAGTTGAAAACTCAAATACAGAGGGAATCGTTGCTGGCGAAAGAGGCGAAATTTGAACACGGCCTGAAGAGGAACGATTACGATTACGACGATATCGTGAACACGATCAGGGAAAACGACAGTGTCTATCGAAGTCACGAAAGTCGTGTCGGTACGGTTTGAAAATATCATTTATATTCGGGCGGCCGACGAAGTGCACGACCTTACTTTTACTTTCATAATAAATTTCGATACATAATGATACAGGGTGCGCGAAAAATAAGATTAAAAATGAAATTAAAAAAATTGCCAAAAAACTTTTTTTTCAATATGCCTAATATTTTTACTTTTTGAAACATTTGCTTTTAAACATTTGTTACAAATAACATGCTGTTGCAGTTAGTGTAAGGTGGGTATGACAGCGTTTAAACAAAACAAATGCTGCTTGCGTATTATGTTTACTACAGCGGAAAAAATTGATGTGTTAGAAAGTTACATTTAGTACAATAAAAACCGGACTCTGGCTCTTGGAGATTATATTAGAAAATTTCCATTAAGGAGGCGTCCAGAAAAAAGATCTTCGACACCACTTTAGAATATATGCAACTTTGAAGAAAGAAAAAAATAGACGTAGACATATTTTGAATAATGAAGAACAACTTAATATTTTGTTGCATTTTGCAAAAACCCTTGAAGATTTAACCCAAATCTGTTAGAAATGCCATTATGTACTTAAAAACCCATTATAAGCTATTATTTTTTTATTGATCGTTCATTAACAAAAAAATTCGCCAACGTTATAGCTTATCATTGATCTTATTTTGTATAAATAATGCATGCATAATCTTCATAAGCGCATCGGTAAGATTATGGTCAACGATGAAATGGTAAATCATAGTGGCAGAACTTGATTTGTTCAAACGCCGTCATAGCCACCTTACACTAACTGAACTTGCAACAGCATATTATTTGTAATAGACAAATGTTTAAAAGGAAATATTTGAAAAAGTAAAAATATTGGTTTTTTTTTGGCAGTTTTTTTTTATTTTATTTTTAATCTAATTTTTCGCGTACCCCGTATCAATATGTCTTAAAATTTCTTATGAAATCCGTTATTCCAGTCCTTCGTCTACAACAAAACTTACTGAAGTAAAACAATAAATGCTACCGAATGAAGAAATTTGCAGATATTTTATGTCTTGCAAACGTCATTGCATAGAAAGTTAAATATGTCAAAAACGGTTGACTTAGGTATAGGACATTATACACAGAATATGTCTAGAACTTTGTATAGAATTCGAACAGGAAGTACTATACCAGGTGTTCCATTTAAAATAAGAAGGTCGAGACTCGCTCACGAAAATTGGAACACCCTGTACATACAAAATTAAAATAAATTAAAGGTTTGTAATACCCCAATTAACTTTGGTATTTAACTTTTGGCTCCATCCCTTTATAGTTTCTGAAATAAGTCCCAAGATAAACGGCCCACCCTATACAAAGAGCAACGTCTTAAGTTAACACCAAAATAGTTACTTTACATGATTTAAACCATATACAGGGCAACCTAAAAATATAGTGCGCTTAACAAAAACCTGTTTTTTTATATGCATATAACTTTGCTTAAATCTAAATTTTTCGTCTTGAAATTTTTGAAAGAAGAAGCTTTCAATTTTATTATAAAAACATACTTTTTTATAAGTAAAATACTAGACAGGGTGTCCAACAAAAATGAGTTTTTGACAAGTGCTCTTTACTCAAATATTTTTGTAGAACGTTCAATTATTTTAGTCATTTTTGAAAAAGCCAGTGGGTATTACAACATTAATAAATTGTCACCTCCCACATTTCGTAAACAATTAAGATGGCTGACATTTTCTGCAGCTACATCTCGAATGAGATCATGTTGATATTTTGTTAAATTTGGGGTGACTAGAATATTTAATGCTTCTCTAAGCTTTCACACAATCCTCTTATACTTCTAGCATGTTCTGGATGTTTTCCTAAATGTCTGTATAATACAGTGCCCGCGTTGAAGTTTGCACCATCTGGCAACTATGTCTATTGTAAGATAATTTTGTGAAAAAAATTTTGGTGAAATTTGTAAAATAAAAAACATTTCTTTGAAGTTGAAAAAAAATATATGCTCAACTATTAATTTCATAACCATCTTGGTAGCAAATCGTAGCAGATAAATGTTATATTTTCGTGATCGTAATATTTAAGCAATTATATTGAGATTATTGGTAAAGCGAATTCTGTCGAATATCAAATTTTGTAAATACAAATACTTAGATGTTGATATATTTTTACCTAATTTGTCCATTTTATTATTACATTTTTGATAAAAAAGACAACTTATTTGTGTAAAATTTTCAAAAAGCCATTAAATTAGCACTTTTCCTTATAAAGAGTTTTAACATAGAAGCTAGATTTTCGCTAGAGAATATGTTGATGAACGAACGAGACTTTTTCAGGGATTCTGAGAGAGAAGAAGTATCAATAACAGATTTAAGGTTGCCCTGGACTGTTAAGCTCTGAATATTTTGAAGTCTTGTACTGATTGTATGGTAATAAGATTGTATTTCTCCGTTTGTTGCAAGCATGATAGTGCCTATTTGATTTTATCCTCGTCTACAATCCAAATGTGTGACAGTGCACATCGGAGGGTTTGTGCATTTCCTCCTCCCTATCCACTGGTACGGTGGTGGTAGAGTCAGTGAAGTTTGTATTCATGAGTGATACCATGATTTCCAGAAGATTTGCAGTATGTTGTCCATATTCTTTAGCAAGCTTTCCGATCTCGAGGAACTGGTCAGAACATAGCCTAAATGCTTCAGTGTAGTCCTCTAACCGCTCTCTTTGTTTTGGCCTGACGACTTTTTCGTACTTGCTGAAGTAGCAAGTTTTGAGACTTTTGGTTTGTTAAAAGTTTTCTGGCGATTTCCCTGAAGCATCCCCCTTACCGGCATCCCGATGCCTCCTCGATGGGTTTGCAATTTTCTATCCCTCTGTAATGGCCTTTTGGATGGTTCCGAAGTACCGTTCCAATTCGTGGCCGACGTTGCGTGTCTTTGAGAGACACATTTAACTGAAATATCCTATCGTCAAATGATGAAAACATTCACACATTCCACATTCTCGGTTGAGAGTTTCAGAAATGGAAACTTTAGTAAAGAAGGATTCTATGCCCAAACTTAGCAGAATATTTTGTGGCTCTAATGTAATGGTGTTTGTTGTTCATCGAAATGAAAGGGATTAAGTACGAAATTAACAGTTTTCCTTGTAAAGGGTTTTAATATAGAAGCTAGATTTTTGCTACAGAATGTGTTGAAGGAAAAGAGGTATTTCTAAAATAAACACCAGTAGTCCCAGAACAATTTTGTTAAAACGATATCAAATCGGTTTTGACTGTGCAATATGCGGACAACTCTGGTACAGTCTTGTCACTAACCAGAATAAAGCTAACGTAACCTTCGAATTCTTGTATTTCAGGGATTCGGGGATCTTGGGCGCGACGGCTCAGCAGATTCTCGGACGGTCTAGATGCCCACGTAGAAGTCGTCAGCAGGAAAAAGAAATCTACGTCTTCGACAGTGTGGGAGACGACGTAATTATATATTCTGATCGATTCTGTGCATTTATAAGTGCGAATGATGTGTATTTGTGTTACGTGTAAATAAACAAAATTATTATTAATAACGACGGTTTGTTTTCTATTACATTGGTGGCATTCATCGAACATAGCCAAGCGCTCCCGATACGTAGAGGTAGCGATTGCGATTGGTCAAGTCATTTGCTGTTTCCGTTTTTGACATATATAGAGGTTATGGTTGCTTTTTTTTGTTTGGGTGTTGTTGATTTTGAGATTGAAACATACATTGTACATTTTTATTAAAGTTTGTCGTGGCTTTGAAATTCGGCAATAAGTGAAAGACGGTTTATACAGGGTGTACGCACAATATAATTACATCGATTTTGCGAAAGTTCCATAGTGGTCTGCAGGAGCACGTTAGAAACACAATGCGTCCCTCTAGCGAAGCGGCTTCTTTTTGAGACCATTTTTCGAAAGCAATCTTGTTAAATCAGCAGTACTACACACAAACACTGAATAAGATATACCTTCGAAAAAATCTAAATATCGAAATCAACAACACCCAAATAAAAATAAGAAACCATAACCTCTACATATGTCAAAAACGAAAACGGCAAATGACTTGACTTGGTGTACAAATTACACTATAGAAAAGTGCGAAGCGCACTGTTTATATTAGTTAAGCGCGCTCATTTTTACAACCACATGGCCCTTTGGCTACAATCCCCGAAACGAATTGTTTTAGCCGTTCCGAACTTTGCGTCACGGCTCTTAACACTTCTTCGTGATTAGGTTCGTCTTCTACGTCATACGATGCGATGCACTTGTTGGTGATCAAACTTATACCGAAAACGGTCATGTCGCAATGTTTTGCCACCAGGACTTCCGGAATTGTAGACATGCCTGAAATAAATCGAAACTATGACCAAAATAATCGGGCGAGAAAAAGGAGGTGTATAATTGGTAATTTTTGTTAAAAAAATGTTGGACGAACATTTAAAAACTCACCAAAACAATATTTATGTTATTTATGTTATTATACATTTATTAAAAACAATGGAAACGTAGCTTAGCATATAAGCAAGCCTCCTAGCCTTAGATTTAAAATTAGTACCCACTTCATAACGGCTAGTGATACATCCGTCCGAAACTTTGTGCAAACAAATAATAAAGACAACGAATGTTCGACAATCTCTTAGGATTTCTACACTTTAGGAGAACTGCAGCAATATATTTGCGACTCACTGACAAATGCAAACCATTTTTGATTGCTTTTTAATTCCACATTATGATTTCGGTGAGGGACAATGCTTTATTGTCGCTTAGGCAAGTAAAAATAGCTGCTCAAAGATAACATGCAAACATGAAATACTCCCAAACGGGTATGTTTGTTAACTGACAGCAGCGCCTCTTTCGGAGAATAAATTCTCAAATAAAAACATGCTGGAATTTAATGATAACCGACGATTTTTGGGTCGGATGGTGATATGACAATACATTAAGGAATCGGTTTGTGTGCTTAGGTTTTCTATATGCAGTATGTTGGGTCTGATTTTCTATTGTTTTCTATTCTATATTGAACAACGGGAGATTATTAGAGAGTAATTAGAGAAGCAGTTTAACAAACTTTGATTCGCTAAATCGAACAAGATTGCTTTCGAAAAATGGTCGGTGGGCGGGGCAAGTTCAGGGGTAAGGCAGCTTTTTATTTTAAACAGAAGACGCTTCACGGTTTCTTATCCTAGAGGGATGCAATTGTTCTTCTATCGTGCTCCTCCTGACCACTATGAAACTTTCGCAAAATCGATGTAATTTTAGTACGCATACACCCTGTATAAAGCGTCATTTACCCGCCTAACTTCAAAGTCACGGCAAACTTTGATAAATGTTGTAGTTTGTACAAATAATAGGTATTTGCAATGATATTTTTTGGAATATCTCGCGCATCCTGTGTGATAGACGAAACCTGAAACGAAAACGGCAATTCCTAGGGTATTTTAGATATTTTTACCCATAATTGACACAACCTGTAGATAATAAAATTTCCGGACATGAAGGTCATAGCCCTGGATCTCCCACGTGGCATGGTCCAAGAATTTTTCCCAAATACTAAAGGGTTTTCGAGAAAATAATTTCTTTCTAGAACCACGCAGTGGGTCGTAATAATCAATTACGTCATTGCGTCTTGACTGAATCCCAGGTATAATAATTTTCTTATGGATTTTTTCAAATATCTAGAGCAGCGTGTGTAGACGAAAACCGTAAATACAAAAATTGTAGCTCTTGGCCATATTTTGTACGATTTCTGATTCGCGGTTAAAAATTTACTCTGGAATAGAACGATTTTCGGGGTCTTTTAGATTTTTGTGGATAATTGAAAAAATGCCTGAAATAAATGTTATAGCCCTGGATATTCCTCATCTGCTGATTAAAGAATTAATTGTGAATGGTTATGAAGAAAAGCATGTTTTTCTGAAAGGCAAAATAACCAAAAAAATTTTTCAAATTTTTTGAAAAAATACTTTGTGAAATTTGATTGCACCCAATTTCCACTGTTTAAATGTGGACATGGATTTTTACCTCTCTGTTAAATTTGAAGTCGATATCTGGAAATTTAGGATACTTAACAGATTTATTGTATAGGACGGGATATCGAGAACACTTTTTGCAATAGGTGAAAACCTTAAGTACAAAAGTTTTAGCTGTTTATATGAGCTATATCGTCATGTCAAACACTGTATTTTAGTTATTGCCCTAGTAGGGGTACCCATTTTTCAGTTTTTTTGAAAATGCGGCCCACCCTGTACACTCTTGAAAAATTATCAAGAATAAAATTTTTCGGAGCTAAACCTTGTGCGTCTTCTCGTTCAAGATTTTTTTTTGCGTAAACGGTTTTCGAGAAATGTATTTTTTGTTAGAACGTTGCAAACGCGATTTTTTATTTTTTTAAAATGCTTTCCGACCCCCAACCCCCCAATTGCGTTAGGGGACCAAGCGCTATTCGTCTGAAAAATTTGAAGTCGATAGCTTCAAATTTCGGACACTTATGGTTTTTCATAGCAAAGTTCAAAAAACAGTCGAAAATCAAAAAAAAAAAAGCTGGACGCCGAGGCTTGAACGCAGCCATTTCTACATATCTTATGCATCTCGTGGACGGTTAAAAAAGAGCAAAATTTGAAGCTCGAACCGTTCGGAAGTTATCGTCGAAAAACTCTGGAACAGAGAATGGAGAACGGAGAACGAACAGACATTTTTTTTTACTTTCGTCGCTGATCGTTTTTGTTCTCTAGGACCTACCGTTACCGAGATATCGATATCGATTTCATAGATTTTTCGGAAGCAACGAGAAAAAGCGGAAGTTTCAAATTTAATAGACGACTCTCTAATATCGTTTAATAGACGTGTTTTATGACGAATCAGCGAGCAGAAGCTGTTCTTACCTGTCGCGTCCACGCCCAACATCCTCAACATTTTAATTTCAGCCACAGTTTCGTAGTTAGGTCCGCTATATATGGCGTAAACTCCCTCGTGGTAGACGTGGGCTAGTTTCAACTCCCGTGCGACCTGCCTGGCAGTCGCTATCAACGCTTTGTCGTAGGCCCTATTAGCGGCAAAAAATCTGGGACCGAAGTTTGGGTCGTTCTTGCCTCTCAGAGGGTTTTGACCTGGGCAATTTTGACATCATCTTACTAGGTTGGCGTAATTTTTACGCGAATCACCTCCGAGCGTGAGAAAATTTATATGGTCCTTGATGACCATAATGTCACCGACCTTGTAACTAGGATTTACCCCACCTGCTGCGTTAGTTACAAACAGGGTCTCGACGCCGAGGAGTTTCATTACTCTCACGGGAATCGCGATTTGTTTCAACGAGTAACCTGTGGTAGAATTATATGTAATGTCATTTTTTATTTCCAGGTTATGATACCTTCATAGTAATGGGGTCTGCCCAGCATGCATACAACGTTGACGCTTGATAATTCCCCGAAAACCAGCTTTCCTTCATGACCCTCGACTGTGGTCTGTGGAAAGTTTGGGACGTCCTTGTAAAGTATGCTTAAAGGATGCCGCAAGGTCTCAGCCAAAGCACCTACAACGGAACCGCGTGGCCTTTTGACAGTGAGCTGAAGTAGTATGCTCACCCAGTCCCGATCCGCAAATTATAAGAATTTTTGGGGCAATGGGAATGCGGTCACGGATATAGTGGTACGATTTTGACAGGTATTCCAAATCGAAGCTGGGAAAGTCATAGTGATATGCAACAACGATCTGGTAGTAATGCAGTAGTATGAAATACGTACTCTTTTTCGCTCATTGCTTGGTGTACCAAAATTTTTGATGATTTACGCACGTGCGTTATTTTGATGTCATGTCAAATGTGACGGTTTCGTAGATACAGGTCGTGGCGATTAGTTTTTATAAAGGTTACCATTTGCCAGATGGAAGGATCAATGAGCCTTATAACAACTTTGCAAGGTGTTTTAAAGAAAAGTTTGGAAGATAAAGCAAAAAAAAAGAAATACTTATCACAAAAGCACAAAAATGACACATCCGATGGTAGATCCATACAGTATAGGCCGACACACGATAAATGGTCCTGATTCTAATAATGCTATCAGCATTTTTATCTGATGTTAGACATTTTTGAGAATGTGAGTAAAGGATTTAGATTGCCCCATGTTTTTTTATAATTATTTTCTACTTCAAATACATGAATAACACACTCTCCAACTGATCCCTGGTATTAATTGAACCTGAGTTTTAGTTACATACGCTTACCGACTTTTTAGTAATGTTGTACAGACCAGAAAGCTATCTCTAATTTTCTTCTCGTTTAGAATCACATTCAAAAATTTGAAAAACTGTTGAAAGCATCAAACTCTTCTCAACTACCAAACATTGTGGTAAATGCAGGAACTTCCTCAGACAGAAAAATCAGTTCTTGCAAAAGGTTCCAGCTTTCTTCTTGCCCCACATATTATCCCAATTCAAATGTCGAGTTTATCCTAAACAAACTCCCATCTCAAACAGCTAATGAAAAGCAAAAGTCCTTAAAAATCCAAATATTCTATATCTAACATTCCAAAGCCAGATTCCACGTTCTAATGAGCAGTTTTTAACGCTTTTTGCTGAAAGTACGAAATTGATTCAAAAAAAATCCTCTAGATGCAGGTACATTCAAATTGAAGATCGATGAAAAATTTTATCATGGGTTTTGTTTTTTTACGCGAAATTGATGCATTTAAGTCTAATATTTTCGAGTCGATTCCAAAAATCGCTAGGCCTCTTTAATGAAACTAAGAGATTTTATGAATTAATTTACTTGATTGTATCACTGGGTACCACTAGAAGTATAGGGTAGGTTTCCTTTCCTTCATTGCTACTCTTAAAAATATCACCGCTTCGTGATAAAGGGAAGTATTTTATCGAGTATTCTAGAATATGTCTCGTCGTTTTCTGTTACTTTGGAAAAACCAAGTAGTCTAGACTCTTTTCTCAAAAAATATGAACACCATGTAAAGGATGTTCCAGCAACGAGGTACAGTATTGGGTAAACGGATGCCGCTAAAAATTCGAAATGTAAATTCCACCAGATGGCAAAAAAAAATATTTTTTGAAAAAAATATTATTATTTACAAAACAAAATTGGCAAGTTAAAATGAATTTGGCCATTAACTCTACTATAGCTTCATGACAATCTCGATAATTTGTAATGAATAATTTCTGTCAAAGGAGATGCTTTATTTCATTTATGGTTTTCTACTTACTACATAAAACGTCAGTAATTAATAAACTTATGTATGTAGTCTAAACCTAATGTTTTATCAAAAAAAAGCAATACCTAATATTCGAAAAAATTCTAAGGAACTTTTATTTTAATAACAACCCGTAAGTTTTAAATTCTTTTAATCAAATTTTAGGTTAGGGTCACGATATTTAGATTCCATTTTTACTGGGATGTTGGCCTCTTGTTTGACCATCGAACAACCTAAGAAAATCATATCATTATGTTAGAAAACGCAATCATCTCACGTTTGTTTGCTTAGGATATCCATTAAGGAGTTATCGACATTTATTTGCGGAAATGTTCGAAGACTCGCTCCACTTTCTTTTTAGAGATAAGGTAAAAAGCACCTAATTAAAAATATTTGAATTTGTCTCAGGTTTAAAACACTGTACTGTATAAAATTTTGCAAAAAACGAGTTTTAAAATTCAAGATGGCAATTGCGCCCTCTGGTGGCAGTTTCTTGATTGTTTCACTGTGTATCACTAGAAGTATAAGGAATGTTTCCTTTCCTTCATTGGTACTCTTAAAAATATCATCGCTTCGTAAAAAATAATAATTTTATCAAGGCACAGGAGTATCATTTCCAAGCAAGAGATTTAATTTCTAGAATATGTCTCTTAACGTCGTTTTCAGTTACTGTCGAAAAACCACTTTTTTGTATTTTGATTTTTGATCCAGTACTGCAGTTCTTAATGAAGCTATTATTAATTTCGTCCGGAATATCAATTTTGTTGTTTCTTTACAATGTTTAAATCTCTCAGATTGCTCCACAATTGTTGATTGCAAAAAAAATCTCCAAGTGGTAAAAAAATAGTTTATTCAAAAATAATTCAGTTTTTTTTTACAAACGCCTCACGCCTTAAAGTCTAATTACGGCAAGAGTCACTTCGCAGGTTGTACTTTGAGCAGTTGGCAGAGTTTATCGTAAACTTTGCTGAATATATTGGTGTAGCCGCTGTTGGTGAGGTGGAGGTAATCGTGCATGATGTGATGCGATATGGTTTGATCGTTGCCAACTATATTTTCGTGTATCGCCACTAGGTGGACGTTGTCGGTTAGCTCGTCCCGGTTGGCTTCGTTCGAAAACTTGTCTATGAGGAAGGTGTTTACGTGATTCATTCTCTCCCTATAAGGGTTCGAGTACTTTCCTCTTGGTAACAGCGTCTAAAATTGCTTTGTTTAATTTTAGTTTTAAATTTTTTGTTGCAGCGGTTTAAATCCTGACTGGGTGTTGTAGGTATGGGAGTTTATTTTATTTCGTCAATTGTTATTCCGTGTACAGTACTCACTGGGGTGCGTGTCCCGTTCTTCCTTTAAGTGTTTTATTCTATAGCGAGATCTTTGGATTAGAAAATGTCGGGTACTTTCAAAAATATGTCAGTTTTTGTTATTATTATTTATAAAAATCAGAAGTTCAAAAGTTTTATGGCTTTATGGCATCATTACTTTTTATGTGAAATCCACAGATAATAATAATAACAATATTAATAATAATAACACTTTTATTGTTACACCATCAAAATTACATATTATTAAATAACCAAATAAAAAATGCTTGAAATAATGATCAACAACATGCCTTGCAAGGGAAGCCATCTAGAAAGTCTAGATGCCGTTGAGCCTGTAGCCGACCCCCCTGTTAGGTGGGTTATGAATTTTCGTGGTCGATGCATGTGATGGGTCTGTGCTCGTGCGGTAGTGTGAAGATGTAGGAGGTTAAGTTAGCTGGTAGCTGTTTTCGTAAGCGAAGGAGCAAACGAATAGCAGCAAGGCCGCCATGAGGTTAAGGTACTTTGTGTGTTTGCAAGGCGTTTGGATCAGAAATTAGGCATTTACGTCAAGGCAATAAAGATTGGTGTGCACGAACACATAACTAGAGAGTGTCAGCGCTGTGGAGGTCTCCAACGACGGACAAAAAGGGCGCTTACTGGATGGAGTGGATCTCCAGCTTGGATATGATAGTTCACAGTATCTATTGGTCTTAAATCCACATTGATCCGAGGAGAAGGTCGATAGATGTAACCATATCAATGAATGGAGTAGGTGGGCAAATACTATAGGATAGGACCTACAAATGTAAAAAAGAACAATTTTTACTTCCATAAATGTAAGATAGACTGGAGTGTTTTAAGTGATGTTATACAAATAGAAAGCGAAGAAGCGTGCAAATCTAATGACCACCAAGACCTCATTAGACAAATACAACGGCCTTATAGGAACTGTGTTGGAAATCAGAATAACCATAGAAGCTCCCTCTATTGGTGGACTGAGTAAATACACAAGACAAGAAGAAAATGCTTCACAGCTAGCAGGAAACTAACAAGAACACTCAAAAGAGACGGTGCAAACACTAACGAGGCCAGCCACATGAAAAGTGCATATAAAGAACGCAAAAAAGAGTTGGAAGAGTCGGAAAAGGCGCAATGCACTAAGAGGCTGATAAAGCATATTAAAAGCTGGATGGGTTGTGTGAATCGAGATATAGACTATTTCTTAACACAAGCGTTGACTGGATGTTAGAGAGCGATGCATATACTGCACAGAGGAAGACACGACAGAGCACACTATGCAAGTGATAAAATAGGGCACACGATGACGCCGGATAATATAATTGAAACTGTAACCTTAAAAAAGGATATTGGAATGTGGCGCACAAAATGATACGTAACATTATGAGTTTAAAAAAAAGAGACGAACTCGAATGGCAAAGAAGAACCAGCACTTAGACCGACTGCCAGATGCACCTGAGGTTATGTCCACAGACGGTTCCGGGTGTATCGAGCATGGCGAAGAAAGGGCGTTTTAGTGGGTAAAAATCGTACACGCTAGACTGTACGGGCAGACTTCTTGACCAGAGAGACACCAGAGCAGGAATTTAATATTACTGCCATCACAACAACTGTCATTTGAGATCATTTCTAAACGTTGTTGGATTAGATTGATAACTATTAAAATTGGTTATAGAGTTAATGCAATTGGCTATATTAAAGTCATATGATCTTTTATACAATTCTTTAAGATAGCAAGGTATCACAAGTCGAGGTGTTGAACGCAAACTTAAATTATGCATTGTACCTGAGGTATAGGTATATATATATATATATATATATATATATATATATATATATATATATATATATATATATATATATATATATATATATATATATATATATATATATATATATATATATTCTATTTAGTTTTTTTTTTCAGAAAATCTGCAGGGTTCTCTAATTCGTAGCACGTTTGATAGCCTAGGAAATCGGTAAAGGAGTTATTTCCGGAAATGTTAGAACACTCACCCCAGTTTGTTTTTAGAGAGAGAATAGAAAGCATCTAACAAGAAGTATTTGAATTTGTCTCAATTTGTACTGTAAACACTCAATTGTCTTTAATATAAGAAAATTTTTCAAAAAACGGTTTTTTTCCGCTGGCCGTTTCAGAACTTCAAAAATAATTCCCAGCATTTTTTCTTGGGCGAATATGTTGGATTTTGTATTTAAAGTGATAACAGATTATAAAAAGTGAGGAGTACTCGGTATCTTCTATCCGAATCTCGTGCCTAGATCTGGTTCAACAAAATAAATAGGACAAGTCGGAAGAGAAGGCTATGTTATTGCGCTTTGGTTAGTTTGATTGATGGATTTTTTCAGAAATACGTAATAAAATACTACTTTGTGTAGTTTGTGCTACTGTGGAATCATATTCTATCAAATAATCTACGCCAAAACTAAAAAAACTACCGAACCTATCGAAAATGTCTTTTGTTTGTTTTGTATATTCTGTATATATATATATATATATATATATATATATATATATATATATATATATATATATATATATATATATATATATATATATATATATATATATATATATTCTGTATGTTAGTATATTAGCAAAGAGATTAAAAAAAAACGGACTCACTGGAAGGACAATTGCAACGTTCCCTAGGATGTGTTTGATTTCTTTGATAATTTCCAAAATGCCTTCGTATATTTCGTGGGGAGTGCAATCGGTGTTGTTCGTGCCGACGAACAGCACTATGGCCTTAATTTTCGTGTTGAAATCGAGCTCGCCGTTTTTAATCCTCCACAGGACGTTTTCGACCCTGAAACATCGCCAAAATCGAAGCGAAAATTTTCGTGATTAATAATAGCACATTGCTATGACCCTCATTACCTGTCACCCCCTATTCCGAAATTTATGCATCTGAGGGCACTGATTTTCTCCGTCCATAGGGAGCTGAATTGTAGTTGCTGAATGATGCTGTCACCCATAAAGACCACCTCCGGTTCGCTCGTTTTTGCTTGGTGTACGAACCTGTTGTGCTAGAGATGAAAAATGCTTATATATAATACGAAGAGCCACCCTGTCCCTCATGGCAATCTTAATCATTACAGAACTAAATTTGGTCTAAATTCAAGGTGGAGATAATCAGCAAGCGTATTTTCAATAACCACCTCTCAATAATGTAAACAGGTACAAATTTAACATATCAAAATGCCGGGTGACGCCGAAACTACTGTCCATTTCAAAATATGCCATTTGGTATGTGAATAGGGTTACATTTTGTAAACATGATAGCATAAAAAGCATTCAAGGCCGTTTCCGGTTTCACCGGAAATAACTTCCATTTTTTGACAATATGAAGTCACTTCCGGTTTAAGCGGAAATGGCAGTAACTTTCGAATTTTAAATAGCACACATAAATGTTTACAAGAATGATAGACTATGTCTTAACAAATAGGGAAATACACACATGCACACAAATACCAGATATAAGATGTTTATGTTCTGCTAACGTAGGAAGTGTTCGCAATCTTGTTTTAGGGAAAATAAGAATAAAAATAAACAAACACCATTAAAGGTTGGGGAACAAAAACCAAAGTCGAAAAACTACAAGATGAATCAATAAAAATTCTCTATCAAACAAGATTGGGAAACAAAATAGACGAAAACTCAGTAATAGAAGAAGAAGATATAGGAGACAGTTGGAGAAAGAGTCGAGAAAATATAAAAAACGTAGCAAAAGAAGGCCTTTGGGAGCGTAAAACCAACAGAACATCAAAAAGAATAAAAAGTACACCTTGGTTTTGTGAGGAGGTAAAACTAAAATGTCAACAGAAAACAAGAGCCCATTTCAAATATAAGTCTACGAAACAGACACACTGGTAAGGAAAAAGAAAACAGAACTGTTGCATCAGGGTTTTCGGTGGTCTGTGATGTTCATATTCTATGGTCTTGAGAGGTTAGAATGTGGGACTCTCGGCCCGGTATCTCGCGCGCTTATGTCTGAACCTCATGACGCAGATTGAATAAAGGACTTTTAGTGGAGTTCTCTTTTATTACCAAAAGCCTCCAACACGACAAGAACATTGGGAAAAAATTCTCAAAAGATATGGAACACGACTTTTATGGTTTGCAAAATGAGATCTGGACGTGGACGGCGACAAAAAATGCAAGAATGGATAGAGGTAAAGTATATCGAAAAAGAGACATGTACAAACCACTTAAAACAATTGTATAATACGACGGACAAATTAACACCAGAAACCTCGGATATAGTAACAAATGAAATACTATAAATAGTGAAGAAGTGGAAGAAGCGCCTGAGAAATTAAAAAAACGAAAATCGGCTGGCAAAGATAGAATACAGAATGAATTATTGAAGTACATTGAAGTACAAGGCAACAAGGTGATACGAAAATGACAAATACAGGAGGGCTGGAGGATAAGCATAATGATACCACTTTTTAAAAAGAGGGAAAACTGATCCAAATAACTAAAAAACGTCTGATTTCCCATTTGATATAATAAAACTAATCGAAAATATATACAAAACAACGAAAATAGAAGCTAGAGTACATTGACAGGTAAATTAGCCCTTAGACGCAACTACGGGTATTAGGCGAGGAGACAACTGTTGTGTTACGCCTACGATACTGTATTGGTAGCTGAGAATGAAGATAATTTACAGAGATTACTACATCAATTTAATATAAATGCAAAGAAATTTAACATGAAAATATCAGCCAAAAAAACTAAATCACTAGTAATTTTTAAAGAACCAATTAGATGTGAGCAGGAACTTGATAACCAAATTATAGAGCAGGTAATAAACATAAAATATTTAGGAATTAGATTGTCATATGATAATAACATAGGGGATGAAATAAGAGAACAAACTGCAAAACAATAGAATAGCAGGATGCCTAAACGACACGATATGGAAGAACCGGAACAAAATCCCAGATATATAAATCTGCAGTCTAAGACTCAGAAATGCGTGGAAACAAATGAAATGAAAACATTGAGAAAAATAGCAGGAAAAACACTGTAAGATAAGACACGTATGTGGAATTGAAAACATTAACACCTGGACAAGAAATAGAAAGCAAAAATAGAATCAACATATAGATAGAATGTCTGAACAACGGATAGTCAGGATAGCAAGAGATAAATCGTCTGTCGGTCGGAGGAGTATAGGACGACCACGAAAATGATGGAATGACAACTTGTGATAAAAATTAGTTTGAAGTAAAACAACCAGAAGTGCCTGACATAGATGAAGAAGAAGAAGAAGAAATCTCCACAGTCATGCAGGTTGATGGTTCACATTTTTTAAAATACACGACTGAAATTTAGATGAAAAAGTGAATAAACCTTAACATGCCAAATTTCATAATAAAATTATAGTTAGGTTTTAAGTACCCCCGAATAAGAAATCTGAACATTTCTTTTTTAAGGGGCCACCAGGTATTTTGGATAGAGCACTCAACGCTATTTACCCTGTATATATCGTAACTACTAGCTGCAGCTCAAAATTTGAACATTGACAACACATTTAAAAAAAAAAAATTTTACTATGTGTTTATTTTAAATTTATTAGGGTTACGGTAACAGACTATAAAATAAATGTTTACCGGTCTATTATCCCTCGCGGGTGTATCTTCATAAATTACCTTTGGTCTAATTTCCCATCTCCCTAAACATCTAAAAAAATTTATTTAAAAATAGCGTGGCGCGCGTCGAGAGAGGTTTTCCAAATAAAAACGGCGAAACATATCGCCGTTAATTACGCCCATCTCATTCATCATTTTGTCGGTTAACGTTCCCGGTAATTACTTTGGCGGGTTATTTGTAATATCGTGCGGTACGTGGTGTTTGCTCCCGGTATCGGTCCGAATTATGTGAAGCTCGAATTGTAAACTCGCTTAGAAATAGGTGACTTTGAACATCGAGGAAGCACCAATAAAAAGATTTAAACGCAGTAATTACGCAATTGACAAAATTGACATAGGTGGGGTTTATTTTCTGCATTGTTTGTTGCCGCACAGATTTTGTTGCCGCAGTTTTGGTATTTGATGTACTGCGTGCACCGCGTTTTTCTAAGTATTACAAAAAAGATCAACATAAACGTACAACAGTTTAATTATCACTTGCAGTCTTTTACATTTTACATTAATAAAATAAATTTTATTATTGTAAATCTTAACGCTCTGCTACAATTGCATTGCACCTCACAAAAAACTATCAACCTTGGGTAAAAAATGTTAAAGATCTAGAGTTTGGCGTTCCCCAAGGACCAGTTTTGGGCCCGGTATTGTTTATACTTTATATTAATAATTTATTTAACATAAAAGCTCTTGGAGAACTAATATGCTTTGCGAACGACTCTGCCCTAATCTACAGAGATAAATCCTGGCAAGCACTTAAAAACAGAGCCGAAATGGTTGAGTAACCATCTCTTAACCGTCAATTACGGAAAGACCAATGTTATGCCTTTTGGATGTTATTCCGACTCTCTCCCAAGCTTCCAATCATTCTGTGTCCATAAAATATAAAACCACAATCAAATATTTATCCGTGATCCGAATTTAAAGTGGGGTGAACACGTAAAACATGCAAGTCACCGCTTAAGATCTTTAATCAGAAAATTTAAAGAATTGAGAGAACCTGAGAACCTTATACTTCGCACTTGTTCAACCACATTCACCTTATGGAATAATAGTTTGGGGGCAGCGCTGGATGCTCATCTTAGAGCGCATGAAATCACCCAAAAGTGGATATTAAAAATAATTTATGGCAAGAATAAACTATATCCAAGTAATAAGTTATTCCGAAAGAGTGAAATTTTAGATATTCGTCAACTTTTTGTGCAAAATATAGCAATGCGACAATATAAGAAAAAAGACGCGTTACGAACCATAAAGCATAATCATAACACCAACACCTCACTAGAACAATGCGTCAAACTATTCCCAACAATGAGAAAAACACATAACCAAGAAAACGTATCCAGAATTAGAGTAAATTGTACCTGACCATGACAAACCAATGGCTAATAAATTTAATCCAATTACATTCCAAAATAAACTTGTTATTGCAACACTATTTCACTAGCTTTTTAAACTATGTCTTCTGTTTCATTTTCATTTTACTTTCCATTCAATTTGTTACCGTTCGATTTTTCATTACCCTTTTGACTTTTCCAAATAGTATTGAGTTTTTCATATTTAATTACATGTATAATTTAGGTAGGTATTCGTTATCTTTCATTAACACTTTTTACTTTCCATAATTATATAAGACTTATAAGTTTAATTCTCACCGACAAGAAGTATTTCTTTGGTGTTATTTTGGTCTATTTGTCAAATAATCGTAATTATTTAACTCCCACTCCTACTAAATAATCTTTTCTTTTCTTTTATTTTTTTAACGTTTATTTTAAATAAACTTATTATTATTATTATAATTATGATTATTATTAATGAAACTCCGAGATAAAGCACTTAGTAAATTTAAAAGAAGCAAAAGTAACGCAGATAGGGAGTATTATAAAACTTTATGTAACTTAACTAGTGTAACCATCAAAAATGAAAAAAAGCTTTTCTTAATGCGCGACTTGCGACAAGTAATAATGTCTGGAAAGAATTAAAATAATACTGTGGGGGAATTCAAAAGAAAAAAAAATATTCCAGAAGTTTTAAATAACCCTGACGAAATAAATACCTTTTTTATATCGTCAATACCACAAACCCAAGCTGAGAACCAAGATGAAATTGAACACTATACAAACAATGTTAAGAGCACAGTAACGTCCATTTTAAAATTTAAATTGGTTTCGGAGATCGATGTTTTAAATTTAATAAACGAAATTAAGTCGAATGCCATGCTGATGGTTTAAATATATCCATAATACAAATGGGGTGTCCGATTCTTTTACCATTCTTGACTCACGTAATTAACTTCTGTATTTCAAAATCCGTCTTGCCAGACGCATGGAAAAAAGCTGTGGTAATAGAACTAACCAAAAACTAATAATCCTCAAGAATTCAAAGATTTAAGACCAGTTAGTGTCCTGTCATGTCTTTCAAAGGTTTTAGAAAAAATTATAAATAACCAGTTGTCAGAACACGTGGAGAAAAATCAGGTTCTTCCTGAAAATCAATCTGGATTTAGGCGGTATCACGGATGTTCCTCGGCACTGGAAAATGTCAGTCAGTGTCTTCAGGGCTACAGATGCACGTAAAGTCACAGTTTTTGCAGTATTTGATTTTTTAAAAGCGTTCGACACAATAAATTACAAAACATTGTTAGCAGTTTTGCACTATATTGGGTCAAGTGGTCAGGCTATACAAATTTTTGAAATTTTTTTTAAGTAAAAGAACAGGGCGTGTTAAGATTGGGAAACCGTGTCGGAAGAGATACCAATGAAGTGTGGCGTACCACAGTGGTCTGTTATTTACACTTCTAATATTCACAAAGTACTCGAACACTGTAGATTCCATTGTTGTGCGTATGATACGCAGGTATATCTGTCATTCCATAAAGACAATCTGTTCCAATCTTGTCAAGCAATTAGCAGTGATCTGGAAAATCTAAGAACAATCTCTTTAAGGCATTCCCTATTTCTCAACCCAAAGAAATGTTTAATGATTTTTGGTCCAAAAAATGACGTTCTTAATATAAAAAAGGGCATTAATATAAAAATAGGAGACTGAAGCTTCGAAGTTAAAGAGAATATAAGAAATCTGGGACTTATTTTTAATTCTGCAATGAGGTTTGAGGAGCATATATGAAATTGTATTCAACGCGCATACTTAAGATTAAAGCTTTTGTATAGTAGTCGCCAGTAAAAATGAAAAATATGTTGTGTGACTCGCTTGTGTTCTCTAGATTCAATCATGGATGGCATTTGTTTAACGGCGGTTCAAAAATCAAAATACAAAAGTGCAAAATTCTTGTCTTCGTCTGATATCCGAAAATTTGGGCGAATATCATATAAACTTAAGGATGCCAATTGGTTGAATATGGAGTGTAGGAGAGAGATGCATTTAGCTTGTTTTTATTATCGAATTTCGTTTTTTGAATCTCCGGCATATCTGCATGATAAAATTATATTTAGATCCCACGTTCATAATATAAATATTCGATTTAGAGGATTGATAACACCACCTCGCCACAGATCGTCCTTTTTTGAAAGAAGTTTTACTTACAACATAGCCGAGCTATATAACTCACTCGTTATATTATGGTAAATCACTATTACTGCTATTTTACATTTACCAAAGTTTGCCATCATTTTAAATTTCGGCGAGACGTGAAAGACACAAACATGTGGATCAGATTTCCAAAAATTACAAAAATATGAATGTTCAAAGTCGGAGGTGGAATTTTTTTTCAAGGCCAGATATTTCAAAAGTGGTTAGACATAGGTATAGGATATTACGCATAAATTTCGCAATGTGATAATATATGGGGCGTTCCATTTTAAATAACATGTCATTAAGCGTTTAATGAACGGCTTGGGTGAAAAACCCATTGAAAATTTGAAACCAATTGTATATCATAAAAGTTTTGTGTAATCGTTTCGATTAGAAAATCACGTGAATTAGAAAAGCGCGCCGAGTCCGACTGAACGCAGAAGACAAATTTTCCGTGAAATAATTGCCGCCATTATCGCACTAAGTGGGCCTCATTCGAAAATTTTTAAATTGCTCGTTATTAACGGTACTAATGGGTCCTTCCTTTTCTATTCGTGGACAAGATAACGGTTTTTTCATTTTTTTTTACAGAAAGCGACAAACAGGTTCCTAGTTTTTCTTTTAAAAAATCGTCACATCAAAGTATACCATAACGATTCAGTCACTACGGTAAAAACCATATAAACATATGTTCAGCATTTAATCGTTTTTCTTGGACGTTTAACGAGATCTAGGCATATTTTGCGAAAATACTGCCGTAAAATTGCAGCATAGTTAAAACCTCCTTTTTAATAGTTTCATAAGCTATATCTCTACTAACTATATGAGTAAAACCCAAAGTCAAGGTCAAGGCTTTGACTGAACTTTTATAGTTTTGCGAAATCACTCTTCGAGGAAACCATCAACTATCAATTGAGATAATGTTGAGTATAGATAGTATAGATATAAATGAGCGAGTTTTTCATTTCTCAAATTAAGATAAGAGAAAGGCCACTGCTTTAATAGATCAAAATATTCCGAAGAGCCTATTATACCTTCACCTGTTTTTATACAAATACAAATTTTTTATACACGCCGATATTTTATTTGTATTTTTGCGTTTTTATAATAACAATTTTCAAATGCAAAAATAAAATTTTGTACTTTAAAAACATTAAATCAAAAAAAGCAATGGTATGAAGTATTCAATTCTTTCAATAAGAAATACTCTGAATTTTTTAAAACTGAACTCAAATAATGGCCACTTGTTTAAACATTCTTTATAATTTTTTTTGGGGTATGTCCTTTCTAAGTAATTTACGTAATGAACTAACATTCTTCCAACTTTATTTTTTTAAACAAAATGTACTTCTCAACGCTATGTTTTAGTGACCTTTATTTGTTATATCTCTTTAAATAACACCAGAAAAAAAAGAAATCGGCAAATTTGGTTTTCTTTTTCAGCAGATTTATAGAAAAACTAAACATTACAAACATGAATTTCATATTTTGGCAAGTGTTGTCAACCCCAAATACCAAAAAATTTCTTCCTAACCCTGTATATGATTTTAAATTTTCTATCGAAAATTAGGTGAAAATACGGGCACCGCGATATCCCCTGCGACATTAAAAACTATACTAATGATATTGTTGGGTTATTTATAAACAAACGATATTTTTTAATACCGTCAGCGACATTTTATAAAAATAGCAACGGCATATTTATTACAGAAAATACGCATATATCTCATTTTATTGGACCATATGTATATATTTTTACAGGGACAGAAACACGTGTTTTTGATAGTCTCATATTTCGCGGATAATTTTATCGGCCAATTCGTCGGGTTGGTTGATTCCGACAGATTTAGATTGGCCAACATTTATTATTATTTTTTTATATTAAACTGATTTACCGTATTTTAAATTAAATTAAATTAAAAATCATTCGTTCAGTATCGAACACAATATAACAAAATGAGCGACTCCATTTTTCCGATTAAAATGAAAATTTTAAACTAAATAAAGCAAAAACCGGAAATATAAGTGTCATTTTCATTTACTGCTAAACTCTAGACTAAAGGACACCGTCTTACGGCTTTACATTCGAGTCACAAAAAAATTGGAATTTTAGCCGCGAAAATGTACTGTTTTAAACAACTGAAATCACTAAAAAATAGCTTCATATTAAGTTCAAGACATTTCTTAAAACACAAACAACGCAAAAACTCCATGCGGATGATGTCACTCAATTTTTTTGAAAAAATAACTCTGGAATATTCGAAATCAATCCACCAATGTACTAAAATGAAACTAAAATAAAATGCATTTTCGCTCAATTTTTTTTTTATCTCCAATAACCATATTTTTTCTATTCTATAAGGGAAAAAAGTAAACACTTACCATGCTTATCCACCTTTTGTCCCCCGCCGGATCCTCAGGTTGGGAGGCAATCACGCAAGGGTTCATCATTTTTCAAAACTAACGACACAAAAAAATAAATAAGAAAAACAAATTAAGACGAATTTCGATCAGCGCTTTTAAAAAAATTAATCGCCCGATCCGTGCACTCTCCAACAAAAACAAAACACAATCTGCACCACGCCAGGTGATCTTGACTTCGTGCTAGCGTTTTTTACCGCGTTGCACTGGGTCACAAATGAAGAAAAAATGAATATGCGGCGTTGCCTTCCTTTTTTTTTCAAAGACATTTTTTGTCAAACGTTAAGGGAAAGTTTTGACATCTTCTGGAGCAACCTTCGAGATTTCGGATTATCTTAATATTGCTTAAAATTGCCTTAAACATTAATTGGTTGTAGCTCTCACAATTGGGTCGAAAATTTATCATCTTTGGCAACGGTGTCGCGTAGAAAAGTAGCAGATTTCAGAAGCGCGCTACATTTAAAATACCCATTGAAAACTGGATCGCAGCGATTTACATTTCAAGAAAATAGTGGAACAACGTTGCCAATTTTGGTTTGGTTTAAGCTCCATTAACCGCCAGGATCTTGCGAAAAGAACTTCACAGCGTAGTTTGGTCTTTAATTTTCAGTAAATTGCGAAGATCATTTGTCGATAATGGGTCCCAATCTAATCCGCTCTTAAAGTATACTTCCATTAGGCGATAATAAGCACCATCTGACAACGCTGCGAAAATTTAGTCGATGTCCCCGCCGCTGTGATTATCAGCATTTTAAACCAACGGAACTGATCGCACGTAACGTTAAAACATATTTCATAGGTAGCTTTCGCCCTATCGCTCTCCAGATGGCGTCAGTTGTACTATTTCTGGCATTTTCGAGAAGTAATTATTTGCGTTGCAATACTTTTTCCTTCCGATTCTTGCATTGATTGGCGGTGTTGGAAGAATACTTTGCAGCAAAACCATTGCCAGGTTGCCACGTTTACGTCTCCTAGAAACACTAGATAATCTTCGGAAGAAGTTTAGCAGATAAAAATACCAGCTACTTGTTCATGAATTTCTAGTGTGAGGAAAGCGTCACTTTACCACGTCAGTTTCGTTTCCCACGGATCCGAGCCACTTCGGGCAATTCCGGGATTTTACCGCCCGAGTTTGGGAGCAATTGTCAATTCTGACGGTCATATCCGTGAGTGCATTCTTGTTGTTTTGCGAAAATGTACCCAAAAACTAACGATCTTAGAAAAAGTATAGTATGCAACTATTACAAGAACGACGGTGAGTAAAACTGTAAGAAAATTTATTGAAACATGGCATGCCAAACAATTTATATTGATGTGTAGTAATATCTGGAGATGTTGTAGGCCATTCTGTGGATCCCCTTCTGTCAATCCACTGTCCGGGAAATACTGTACTTAAATATTCACGCACTATCTGGTATATTAGCCAGATTTTTTTATTTTGAGGAAATTGTAAATATCGAGCTCCAGTAAGATTCTGCTCGAAGAAATAAGGTCCAATAATCTTGTTATTCAAAACCAAACATTTATTTTTGGTTAGTCCAAAAGATTTATAAATAGTATTACAATAGCCCGTGAACGTTTCTTTGAAAGGTGGAAAAATGGATTTAAGTGGAACATTTTGTTCAGCTCCAGTTGAAACGTAATCTTGTACGCGTCATACTTTTCTTCTTTTAATACACGCAAAGCTGTTCGTTTTTGGACGACTTGTCCGCAGGCGATAATTTATTTATCAATTTTGTAATGCGTTAAACAAAATCACTGTATTTTTCTATTCACTGTATGCGAGTATTTTTCTCGAAATACAATACCTAGTTTAATTTTTAAATGAATTGGTTCCATATTTTAGACGGTAAAACTACAAAATTGCTTTCGAAAAATCGTCGCTGGCGGGATGCATTGTGTTTCTATCGTGCTCCTGCGGACCACTACGGGGCTTTCGCAAAATCGATGTAGTTCTATTACGCATGCATGCTATGTAAAGTGATTTTCACGTCCCGCCGAATTTCAAAGTCACGGCAAACTATGGTAAATACAAAAATTTGTACAAATAATAACGATTTCCAATGATATTTTTTCAAATATCTCCCGCACCCTGTATAATGGAAGAAACCTGAAACTCTCACTCCACTCAATTTACAATACTGTTTGGACCTTATTTTCTCCCGTTTTATAGTTTTTCATTAACAGCTAATAATTTACCTACGAAAACGGCAATTTTTGGGGTCATTTTACTTTTTTGCACAGATTGTACGTAATTGAAAAAATTCGGGAAATAGGAGTTATATTCCTATATTTTTGTAAAACTATGAAGTACGCTATAAGAGTCAATGACGCCATCGCCTCTAGACTGTCTCCGAGGAACCGTGATTTTAATATCGATTTTTTCAAATATCTCGAGCATCGTGGGTAATTGACGAATCCGTTAGCCATATTTTATACAAATTTTGATTTAATCATTAATAATTTACTCCCAAGAAGAACAATTTTCAAGGCCTTTTAGATTTTTGTTGATAACTAAAACACCCTGTATATAATCGAAAATATGCCTGAAATAAGTCATAGTCCCAGATCTTCCACAGTTCAAGAATTTTGCCGATCAGGTTAACTGTTTTTGAGAAAAAAATTTCTGGACGCCAAAATCACCCAAAAAAGTTTTCAAAAAATACTTGGTGATATTGCATTGCGTCCAGTTTCTACAGTGTAGATGTGGATACGGAGTTTTATATCTCTTCCAAACTTGAAATTGATAGCTGCAAATTTGAGACACCTTTAACGTGTTTCAATAATATGCAAAAACCTTATACGCAAAAGTTTTAGCTGTCCATACGGGCTATATGCTTATGTAAAAGAAACTGACTTCTGAAACGCAGCTTTCTAGTTATTTTCAATCACCATTATTATTGGACCCCAATTTTCAGTTTTTGCGAATACCGACCAAACCCTGTACATTTTTCAAAATTATGAAGAACAAAGATTAATAGAGTTCGATCTCTTGGATCTTCCCGTTCAAAAATTTTTTCGAACGCATAAACCGTTTTCGAGAATTGATTTTTTTCTTGGCTCCTTGCAAAAGCAATATTCTATTTTTTAAAAATACTTCGCGACCACCAAGCAGTCCCAATTTCAACAGGTTTAAACTCTATACGAAAACAAACTTTTAATTCGTTAGCATAAAATTTAGGACACTTATCGTGTTTCATAGCGATCTCCAAAAAAGAGTCGAAAATCGAAAAAAAAAGATAGCCGCCGATGTTCAACCGCGGCCATTTTAACCCGTGGACTGCTAAAAAGGAGTAAAATTTGGACTTTCCAGTTTAAACCGTTTGGAAGTTACTACCGAAAAACTCCAGGAACGTAGAACCGACAAACAGACAAAAATTTAGTGAGGAGCGCGTATACTTTCGAAAAGATCGATTCTTTCGAAAGTAACAACACTTTTTATCTGATAAATAAAAAATGCAGGAATGTCTCTGCACTTTACACTCTCCGAAATTTGACACGCCCTGTACATACGGTGCAATTTGTTTATAGCTACCGCGGCGAGTCTATACGACGGAGTAATTTAAACAACTGGTTGGGTAGCAACAAGGCGACAGGTTACGTTTGATAATATTTAAATCCAGTTGCAAACGTTATGGGCATTACCCTTGACGGATGGGAAGGGAAGATGGCAGTCGTTACAGGTGCCAGCTCGGGCATAGGCGCTGCTATAGTCAAACGGCTGCTTTCTGAAGGTCTCGTGGTGAGTTTTTCCAATATTGTTTAATTTCAAGATTGTAATTGAATATCCTTTTTTCAATTTGGAGGTCGTCGGTTTATCTAGACGTACCGTTCTTGCTAAAGACGTGGAAGGGGATGACCCAAACCGCAAGGGCAAGTTTGTCTACTTCAAGTGTGACGTCACGGACGAGAAGAATGTCGTCGAGGTGTTTGACAAAATTAACTGCGCAGTCGGTCCCATACACGCCCTTATCAATAACGCTGGGGTAATGTTCGAGACTGACCTCATCGACGGAGATGCTGAGCTATGGAGGAAAACTTTCGGTATTGTTTGTTATTCATTTTCCCTTCAATTTTCAACTTATATTTGTTTATTTTGATGTCCAATAAGCAAAGTTTTCAAAATTTTGCGGTAATCATTTGTTTTCCAAACATAACCTACAATTTGGTTATTTTTGGTTTTAACGAAAAGTAATCTGGACTTTTTTTTAATGTTTTTAGAGGACACCTCCTGTCGATGAGCTGTCAGATTATCACTCCCCAACAAAGAAAAGCGACAATTCAATTCAGCAATTATTATCGTCTCAAATTGTTTTTCGGGGATCAGTTTGTGCGTTCCAGGCTCAAGTATATTATTCTTCTTTTAAATTATAATTGCGCATTGAAGGTTGCGTTTAAAGAGTGACTTTACTGTGTATCGTTAGTTTTGAAAAATGCTCTGGATGCTCATTGACATAACTTATTAACATTAATATATTAAAAAAGAAATTGGGGATGAAGTCCTATCCCAGCTACGAGTTTTTAATGCATGGTTATAACGAATGCATGAGAAAAACTGAAAAAAAAAACAGAAAATAATATCCACAGCAAATTCTGCAGGGGCTGTAATTCTATTTTATATTTGATTTTAAACGTATTACAATTTAAATTTACCAGGTTATTAGGTATTGAATTACTATATTTTACGGCGTTATCAGAAGATGTTTATAGTCTTTATTAGAAATGTAGTCTTCATTCTAATCCGCCCAATCTGTTTATAAAAATTGGATATATGACCATATTTTCTTAAGCCACACACACAGCGCATACATTAGTCTTGACTCACTTTCATTATCTAAACAAACACCATATATAAAATTACAATAATTAAAATTTTATAAGACAAGGGACTCGGACGAGTTTTTGCTTAACTTTTGACCTAAAAGTTGTATAATATTTTTCATGCCGTATATGCCCTTTGAAATATGCTTTTTAAATGTTCTTTAAATCTCAGCTAGCGATCTAAACAAATGCCCAAGTTCTTAGCATTATTACCGAAATTAAGCACTGTGCCATCAATTAAAATATTTAAAGAATTTTGGTACTATTTTGTAGGGTTGAGCTTATGATCACTGCTTTTGGAGAGTTTAGTCAAAGTTCGCAAATCGCAATTTATGTTTTGTTTTACCTCCAAAAGATCATCCAAGATCAATTTGTGTATCGTCCTCAAATGCTTGAATTTTACAGACAGTTAATGATTTTAGAATATCTGAAGTATACGTAAAGGACCTAAAATAATGGTCGATTTTAAAAATTCCCTTTAGTTTTTATGAATGATATTTTCATTTTGCAAAAATTTTCTTTTTGCGTTTTACATACATAAAATGGCTCATTTAAAATTTGAATTCGATGCTTTGTCTTTTCAGCATCGGTATCAGGGCGAGTCAGATTCTAAAGTACTCATCTGATTTTTTTTTGCAAAATTCTGATGCTTGATGTGATGGATAGAGTTAATTAAAGTTCAGTTTTATGACGTTCTGTTCTGTTCAATATATTGACACAATAATAAATAATTATTTGATTATAAGAATATCAAGTCTAAGAGATAATATTTTTGGGAGTAAAAAATAAATAAAATCGAAATATCTTTAAAATTGTTGCAAATTTTTAAAAATTCCCATTTTTTAAATTTCCTTCGTAACTCACAAAACACAGAAGCTAGTCAAAATCTGATTGAAAACGGACAGAGGTGTACAAACGGCATCTTTGTATATTTCTTAATACCGAAGTTTTCCATAACAAAAAATTAGCATTTTGGGTCCATATTTAACCATGCCTTTTTTGACGTTTATCACAAACGATTTTCATTTTTATTTGAACACTGTCATCTCTTACCAATCGACTTGCAGATACTGTAGTATTGTCGAAATGCATAGTAACGAGAGAAGCTATAAAATCAATGAACGCCCACAACATGGCCGGTCAAATCATCCATATGAACAGCGTGCTCGGTCACGTGGTGTACGACATTCCCAAAATGAACGTCTACCCGGCTACTCAGTACGCGATAACGGCCCTCACCGAAACTCTGAGGCTCGAACTGATTGCCAAGGGGTCCAAAATCAAAGTCACGGTAATGCGTAATGCTACGGCCAAGAAAGGGATGAATTTTTCCTTTTTTTTAGAGTTTGAGTCCGGGACCAGTGGATACGCCCATGTTAGGCTCGAGTGAAGCAGTGAAATCTAGTCTGCATCAGTTGCTGCGGCCCGAAGATGTAGCTAACGCTATAGTTTACATTTTGTCTACACCACCCCATGTTCAGGTACTATAGTCTGCTTCTTAATGCGAAAGAGTTATAAATCATTGTTGAACTGTAAAAGTTAGTGACCTTAGCCGTATTCCATAGTCCTATGGTGATTGTAAAGGGTTTCGAGAGTGGAAGGTAGACGGCCATGTAGTTAGCGTTTAAAACTAGAATTATTGTTAACTTTCTGGCAGTTCTTGACGAAGTTCTTTCTTGAAAATGGCTGATGTTTCAGAATTTCTTGTTTGCTGAGAAACGGATTAGTAAAATTGCGCTTTCTAAAAATGAAAAAAGTATTATTCAAAGCTCATCGCCACCACTCAACAGTCGAAACTGCAGAAATAAATGAATTGTATTCGAATATAACTAGAGTTGGATAGGGAATAATATACCGACTTGTGCATGAAGGTACGAGACTGAAATAAATGAGGATAGAAAGACTGCTATCAGAGGAATAATGCATACCTAAAAAAAATGCTAGTGTACGAAATAATGTCTGAAATGAAAGCCAGCTATGGTTAAGAAGGAATTCTGGAAAACTTTGAAGGAAATGAATTTCCGTTACGGAAAAACTTAAAATTGAAAATTGCTTTTATTACAGAAAGACGAATTTATCTGATAACGACGACGATATTTGAGAGCAATTAGAAAGTTTGGAAAGGGAAACAGGTTCTATTATCTTGGGTAAATGAAGCATATGAATAGCTATTTTTTAAGTCTACTTTTTTCTGGATATGAAATCTTCGTTGCCGAATAATTTATTCTTTTATTTTGTTTGTATATTCGTTGTAGCATCTAGAGCATTGAATCACTTTTTTTACTATTAAGTCAGAAAAGCGTCCCTGACCTATTTTTTCAGATTGTGCCGAATAATTTTGACAAAAAAATAATTTTCTAATATGTAAGATCTTTGCCATTCTGTGGGATTAATCAACGGTTTATGACTTTAAGAATGCACTTTTGAAAAATGTTCTGTAGCAGTTAACTCATGTGAGATGTGTTTCAATTATAAAAAAATTTTAGGTGCATAATGTTGCAAAATTCGCTGGCATTCTTGAATATTGAGGGAAGTCTCAATTTTTTAATAAGTTATATTTCGAAGCCATGTGCAGACCAAAGTGATCGATGAATACATTAGCAATATCTTTTTTGTCTCTTTTTATCGTGCGATCATTTGTATTTGCTTTATCATGATAATCTTCTTCTTATCGCGCCGTCTCCTGACGAAGTTTGGCGATACATACAGCTTCGGAAACTGCTGTTCGGAATTAGGATTTCGTATTTTGGACCTGTAATGGTGCCTCCAAGGTTTTTCATATTTTTATAGTTGTTAAAAGCTTTTTTTCTTTGTTCATCCTTGTTAGTACTTCCGTGTTTCTCACTTTCTGTACCCAGGGAATAAGAAGAAGACGCCTCTATATATACATTTCGAAAGCCTCGAGTCTTTTTTCGGAGCAAGAATCAAGGGTCCAACACTAACATTCATATAAAAGCACAGAGAACCCATAGGCCCTCACCATTCTCATTCTGAGTTCGAGAATAAGTCTTGTCTTATGGAAGCATCTGTCCATATTAATTCTGCAGTTTACCTCTTTCCGTGGATCCCACTTTTCATATACGTTGGTACCCAAATATTTAAAGGTAGATACCCGTTCTATGACATTGTGTTCAACTTTAAGATGTTCGTAAGTGGCAGTTTCCTTTTTTGTTAATAACATCCATTAAGTCTTCCTTACATTCAGTGTCAATCCAGACTCTCTACTATAATATACGACTCGATCTATTAGGTTTTGTAAGGGGTGTTTTTTTCGATGTATAGAACTTTGAGTTGCAATAAAACAACGATGGATCATTCGATTGACATGAATTTTATTTATCCGAAAGATAATCTTGTGGCATTACATTTTAAATATGATTTCTGGCATATAACCGCCACGGCTGGCGCGGATGTAGTTCAATCTGGACGTCCAATTTTCGATGACTTTTTCTAACATTTGTGGCCGTATATCGGCAATAATACGGCGAATGTTGTCTTCCAAATGGTCAAGCGTTTGTGGCTTATCCGCATAGACCAATGACTTTACATAGCCCCACAAAAGTAGTCTAGCGGTGTTAAAGCACAAGATCTTGGAGGCCAATTCACAGGTCCAAAACGTGAAATTAGGCGGTCACCAAACGTGTCTTTCAATAAATCGATTGTGGCACGAGCTGTGTGACATGTTGTGCCGTCTTGTTGAAACCACATCTCCTGGATATCATGGTTATTCAATTCAGGAATGAAAGAGTTAGTAATCATAGCTCTATACCGATCACCATTGACTGTAACGTTCTGGCCATCATCGTTTTTGAAGAAGAACGAACGAATGATTCCACCAGCCCATAAAGCGCACCAAACAGTCAGTTTTTCTGGATGTCGCTCCAAACGCGGCAGTTTTGTTTGTTGACGTAGCCATTCAACCAGAAGTGCGCTTCATCGCTAAACTAAATTCGCTTATGAAAATCGGGAACAACGGCAATCTTATTTTGGGCCCATCCGATGAATCTACGCCTTACTTGATAATCGTTTGGCTTCAGTTCTTGCACGAGTTGGATTTTATAAGTACGTAAACCAAGATCCGTCCGCAAAATCTTCCATAAAGTGGATGGAAACAGATCCAATTCCTGTGCTCGATGGCGGATGGACTCATTCGGGTCTTCTTCAATGCTACGCTCTACAGCAGCAATAGCTTCTTCTGTACGCACTGTACGGCGTCTCTGGGGATGCGAGTTATCAATAAGAGTAAACGTGGTGCGAAAACGTTCCATGGTTAATCGAAATAACTGCTCTGATGGACGATTTTGTCGACGATAAAATGGGCGTAGTGCGCGATACGTATTCCGCACACAACCATTATTTTCGAAATAAAATTGCACTATTCGCAAGCGTTGTTCAGGCGTGAGTCTATTCATGATGAATTGCCAAACCAAACTGAGAATAAATCACTTGACCGCTGTTAAATCGGTCGCCATCTTGAACAGTAATGCCAACATAAAGTGCTATGCATCGAAAACAACACCCATTATGAGAACAGCATCGTCCGCGTATCGCAAGTTGTTTATGTGGTTCCCATTGACGACTATGCCTTCAGTGGATTCGCGTAAGGTTTCCCTAAATATGGCGGCTGAGTATAGGTTGAACAAGAGCGGCTAGCGAATACATCCTTGTCTCACCCCCTAAGGTATTTTTATTCCCTTTGATCTTGTCCAATTTTTATTTCTGTTAATTGGTTCCAGTATAGATTTTTGATTATGATATGCTATCTTTTATCTATGTTAGGTGATTTCAGGATCTCCATTAATTTATTTTGTCTTACGCATTCAAAAGCCTACTACATATCTTTGCAGCGTTGGAGAAGTACATTCAGAGAAAATAAGGCTTCACGTGTCCCCAAGCCTTTTCGAAAACCGAATTGTGTGTTATCCATATCGTCTTCAAACTTTTATATATTCTAGTGTGTATAATTCTTAGGAAGACTTTGAGAATGTGTGACATTAGGCTTATTAAACGGTTGTCTTGGGTATGGGGATGAAGGTCGATTTAAGCCAGTTGAGGGGAATTTGTCGTGTTATATATATCTTGTTGAATAAGACTTCTAGTTGTTTAATAATTGAACTTTCTTCTGAACAGATTTTGAGAATTTCACCGTTTATCTCATCTGGAATAAACAGCTTTTCCGTCCTTCTGCGTGCATAATTTCTCCAAAATCATAATTATGTTTTTTTAAGTCTCATGGTATAATTTATTTTTGTTCCATTTTGTTCTAACAATATTGCAGAAATATATCCGTTTTCATAAAATTCTTTAAATGATTTAAGTAAGTCTATAGAATTTAACAAACTACACTGTTAGTAAAACATGGCGGGATAAAAATTTAAAAAGTCTAATTCAAGATTGCATGGAAGGATTGTCCACTCTAGTAAAAGCACCCTAAGGAAAAGATTAATAATTACTTGCATTGGTAACAAAAATGGTTTTGTCGATAATAGCTTATCATGATTGTCTTCATGAAGCTTTCGTTTTTGAAGACTACTTCCAAGTAAATGCTAAGTCTTATTCATCCTGGATCTGTTATAGTAATGGATTATGCTAGCTACCACTCAAAAGAATCCGCAAATGTACCCACGACTTTGGCTCTTATAATTATGTTTAACTATTAATTGCTTTGCAAATTTACATTTTATGACTCTCTCGCATTAAGAAACGAAATATAGTGCTCGCAACGGGACGTAATTTCTCATAGAACGGTATTTTTTTTAGGTTCAAGAGCTCACCATAAGACCGGTCGGAGAACCTTATTGATAACGACAAATTTCAAAAAGAAGAGGAAATATAATTTTTGAACAATATTAATGGAAATGTTATTTATTTTCTTGACACACGTACATTATTATTTTATATTTTGCAAAATATTTAAACTATGTTTTTCTGTATTTTTAAAATTGGTTCATTTTGTCTACTTTTCTTAAACCCCGGTAAGTTGTTGAAGGTCACTAAATTGAGGTTGAACAAAACTTCCGGCTTTGTTAATCGAATATTTTAGTGCTAGACAGGCAAGCCAATATTACTTTTAATAACATCACGTATTGATATAATTGAAGAAATATATTACCATTTTTCAACTGTGTCGTGTTCTATTTACTTTGCTTTCACTGATTATATCTAAATACGCATTTGAAAACAAATTTCCAAGTTGTCTTCTGTCTTCGTCTGTTTTCTTTTTTTTATGTTTAATGAAAATATGTGCATTGTCCTAATACGAGGATTAAAACCGCGCGACGATGTGCGAAACATTTTATCAACATTTTGCAGCGCTCGAGCGACTTAATACAAAAGTAAACGTTCGAATTGTCAAGGCCAAACGGGTGTCTTAGAAAAAATTCTCAACAATAAACAATTATAAAAAAAAATCGCCCTGATACCGATTGCATGTACTTTCATTATGGAAATGATTGCCTTGTGGGTTCGACTAGATCGTTTCCGTAACTGGTCATTTTCAAAATGGTGCTCTCGTTGGATCGGTGGTTCGGAAAGGTGGCTGTGGTGACGGGGGCCAGTGTGGGGATCGGCGCCCTTATTTCGGAAAAATTGGTCGAGGCCGGAATCATCGTGAGTATCTAATTACGTCCACAGTTTTAATAATAATAATAATATAATAATAATTTGCTTATTCTGTAGACAGCGACAAATTTAAATTAAAAAGAATGCATCACGTGTTGTATATCCAACCAAATGAAAATTCTCCTTAAAATCCTTAAGTTGGGCGGGATCACGTATCATTAATTTACCCCTGCCGCATATTGCAGAGAGTGACATTACAATTGTTTAAAGGAAGTGTTATATAATTTATATAAAATACAAAGTATAACCAACTAAATAAGAACTAAAAGTTCAGATTTTCACGAAATATATATATATATATATATATATATATATATATATATATATATATATATATATATATATATATATATATATATATATATATATATATATATATATATATACAAGGTTTTTCACTTAAAACTCCGCACGCCAATAACTCCAAAACGAAAAGAAATATTTAATTTATGTAAAAAGTAGTCAAAGTGTGGGGTCAAGTAGATATTTCCTAAAGTTTAAAAAATTCGACGCCTACAAAGAGCTAGGCGTCGCGACGCGTCGAAAAATTATTCGATTGCAGAGACTTTGGAAATACGCGCATACAAAAGTACATATTATTTAAAAACTTTTTTGTTATTTACTCAAACTTATTTACTTTACCCGTTTCTAAGTTATACCGATTTAAAGTAAACATTTCTTGATTAATAAAAAATGTGATTAACGCTTATTATATGCCATGAATGTTAGTTACTATGGCAACCATTGTTATCGCAGTTGTTTTAAGTACAATTACAAACGTAAGTTGTTATTGCTGTATCAAAAAATTGTCACATTTTGTCACAAGAAATATCCAAATTTGTTCGGTTTAAAAAAAACTAAGAACTATTATGTGAAAATGGTGCAATTTAGCAATGAGGAAAAAGTAGACATGTTACTGGTGTTTGGAGAATGTAGATACAATTGTAGAGAAGCAAAAAGAGTTTACGCACGGCGTTATCCGCATAGAAGAGTCCCCGATGCAAAAAACTTTTCAAGTTTATGTAAAAACTTAAGAGAATGTGGCAGCTTCATAAAACCTAAAAGAGATAGGAACAGGACGGCTATAAATGATGAAAATACTGCTGCTCTAATTCAGCAGGTTGATAATAACCCCAAGATATCCCTATCAGAGATAAAAGAAAATACCGGTGTTACCATAAGTTCTTCGTGGAGAATTCTACATAGAAAGTCTTTTCACTCGTACAAAAGTAAACTAGTTCATAAACTAGAACCAGGCGATTATGCTAGAAGAATGTATTTCTTAGCGACATTGTCCGATTTGTATAGCCAAGATGCAAATTTTCTCTCGAAAATTTTATGGAGCGACGAAAGTCGATTTCAAAATAATGGAATCGTTAATAGACACAACTGTCGTTTTTGGTCCGAAAACCATCCTCGTTGGATTACAGAAAGAGGTAACCAACGAATTTTTAGTATCAATGTTTGGTGCGGCATATTAAATGGATTCCTTATTGGACCTTACTTTTACGAAGGAACTTTAAATGCAGATCGCTATTTAAGATTTCTTCAAACTACACTTCCGGAACTGTTAGAAGTGCCTCTTAACACTAGAATGAATATGTGGCTACAGCAGGATGGAGCGCCTGCACATAATGCCCAAATAGTAACGAGGTATTTGAACCGAGAATATCCCAATAGATAGTTTGGCACTAATGGACCGGTAAGGTGGCCGGCGAGGTCCCCGGACATTACACCACCAGATTATTTTCTTTGGGGCTACCTAAAAAACGTTATCTATGAAGAACCTATCGAAGATATGGCTGATCTCATTAATAAAATTAGTGCAGCGTGTGCCGCTATCACAAGAAGGACTCTCCTACAAGTGACCCAAGCTCATCTGTTAAAAGTTTTTGATAGTTGTGTTCGAGCAGATGGACATAATTTTGAACAAAATTTTTGAAATGTCTTATTATGTAGTTAATTGCAATAATAATTTTGGTTATTAACTTGTAGGTATTTTACTGTTTTTTCATTTATTTATCATGTTATCAGAACTAAATCGATAAAAATAATAAATAAAATCATACTAAAATAGTTGAAATCTATTGTTTGTAATTGCACTTAAAACAACTGCGATAACAATGGTTGTCATAGTAACTAACATTCATGGCATACTTGTAAAAATAAGCGTTAATCACATTTTTTATTAATCAAGAAATGTTTACTTTAAATCGGTATAACTTAGAAACGGGTAAAGTAAATAAGTTTTAGTAAATAACAAAAAAGTTTTTAAATAATATGTACTTTTGTATCCGCGTATTTCCAAAGTCTCTGCAATCGAATAATTTTTCGACTCGTCGCAACGCCCAGCTCTTTGCAGGCGTCGAATTTTCGAAACTTTAGGAAATATCTACTTGACCCCACACTCTGACTACTTTTTACATAAATTAAATATTTCTTTTCGTTTTGGAGTTATTGGCGTGCGGAGTTCTAAGTGAAAAAAAAAATATATATATATATATATATATATATATATATATATATATATATATATATATATATATATATATATATATATATATATATATATAAGAGATGAATTCTGAATTATGAATCTCTGCCTTAAATCCTCATCTAGGAAATTTTACAAAAGCACCTGCGGAAATGTGTAAGATCTTTGGCCTATTTGTTTTTTTTATGCTTTTTTGTTATCACATCTTCGTTTTCTCTATTTCTTGTACTGTAAGAATGAGACACATTTTCTAGTTCGCTTTTGTTTTTAAACATATTTAAATTGTTGTTTTAAAAAATTATTGCCCTACAGTAAAAACACTTCATGAACAGTTGCAGAGACGAGTAATTTCTAGTTTTTTGGGAAACTATTTTTAGAAAACAGTTTTGCACCAAGTGATGACATTTGCTGTTTATTTAAAATGTTTATAAAATATTTGAATTTGTAGGTTGTTCACTACTGTTTGTAAATGTTTAGTCCATTTTGATTGTGTATCCATGGTTGTTCCCAAGTACTTCATTTTTTCTGGCGACTTTATTGAATGATGTTCATTGTTTATTGTTTGTATATCCATAGTGTTTTTGGATAATTGGCAAACCCGAAAATGGTATAAAAATTGTTTTTTTTTCCATCTGCTCGTGGGCATTTACAGGCCATTAACTCAACCCGGCCCAGGGTAGTAGTAAGCAAATTGAAACACAAATTATACCTATAATTGTAATTATATAAATAATAAATACTCATTAAATAAATTTTGTCGTTTTTTGCTGCCCAAGCTTTTTGATATTTTTTTTACACTTCAAGTACATGATTAACACATTCCTTAATTACATCAACTACATAGGCGCACATTTTTGAGTTTATTGTAGTGCGTCTTAATTTGTTTTTTAATTCTGCCCATACAATTGCTATTTTTATTTAAAAATCCTTATTGAAATACGTACGCGTTTTGATGGCAGGATACAACAGTGCTATTATAAAATATAAATTTAAAAAATACAACTTTGATACTTTTAACACCGTTGGGACAATCGATATAATATGAAATCAATTTGGAAAGGTAACTGTAATAGGACTTCACATATCTCGGAAGTAAAACTTTTAGAAAACCTTGTATTGTGACCAATATTACTTGACGCTTACCGAGAATACGTAAATAGTAATATGGAAAAATTCGGATTGTTGATTCACTAAGCTAAGGCCTTCAAAATAGCATCAAATCTTTAATGCCAGACAATTTTAACAGGGAATTAAGATTCAAGCTCTATCTGCAAAACTTCTGGATGCCTCCTCCGTCGGTTATTGATGAGTTACACTCGCTGACATCATCCTGTTGGCTTCTTCAGAGCTTAACTAAAACAGTTTTTGTTTCAGGAGGAATCTAGAAGTGTTGTAAATAGTATTACAGTAGTCTGTGGAAGTTTCTTTGAAATAATATTTAAGTATTACGGAAGGAAAAATAGACACAAAATTTATTGCTTTTTATAGTAATTTTCGATATATTGCGAAAAATAAAACTGACGCATTAACAACTTAATCAAAATTTGATAGACAAGTAAAGAAATTTTAAAATTTTATATTCATACAGGGTGAGTAATAGTACAACGGTCAATGGGACAAACTTATTTTAACCTTTCAAGCACAACCTTCCGTGAAACAGGAGAGCTGAATGACGCATTATGGTATGAACGGATTCTAGAGAAATTTTAACAAATTCCAAAATGTTTTTCAAAGATTTCCGCGATAATTAAAAGAAATTGTAAGTATAAAGAGAATTCAGTTTTACATTGTTCTGCTTGAAGTTTAGCCCTATTTTGAGGCAAGTTAAAGTAATAATAAAATAAAATAAAACCTGGCTTTTATTTTTCATTTGCCGCTTAATAAATTCGCAATTCTACACAAACACTATAATTGCGAACAGCAACAAACGAGTTTATAAATATTAAACGCTAGTTGATATGAATAATTGCAACCGTGAATCCTCATGGTCGGGATCACCGGGGTGGACTAAACACACAATAGGTTTAATCATTTGCTATTTGTTGGAATAATAATAATTGTATAGAACCTCTATACACCTTCGTGTGTGGACTGTATCTTGCTCTCGTACCGTCAAACGCACTTTCCTTTGTGGTGGTCAGTTCGGTACTGGCGCGCTGGGCGGCATCCCTTCGGCTGCACAAACGGTCTGGCACGCACTTGGACCGTGATTGATGCATGATAGTCACGTGACTCTGGCGTGTTCACACATAACGGGGTTTCACATATAGCAACGAAAAACTAATAGGTTCTTAACAATAATAATAATAATAATAATAATATTTATTTCTATTGACTTATTACTAAAGTATCGGATAATGTCAACAAAAAAAAACATTAGAACACTAAAATACATACTTTAAAAACAGATACACACAAAGTATATCACACTGCGAGATCGGCATTACTACAATCAAAGTATTCTTCGATAAAATAAAAAGCGCTCTTATTCAAAATGAGCTTTAATTTTTGCTTAATTAAGATTCGCTGTAAAATTATAATCTCCATCAATTCTGGTCATGCAATAATTAGATAGATTATGCGATCTAATATAAAGAGACAGGGAAACGTTAAACATAATTCTCTGGGAAATAATCAGATATATCATTAATAAATATTATAAATAATAAAGGTCCCAGTACGCTTCCCTGTGGGACACCGCTGTTGAGTTCTTTAGATGAGGGTCTAATCACAGAAGTATTACTTCTACGCACAACCCTTTGATCACGACTATTCCCCCGTATATCGCAATTATTTAACTTATTCAACAACAAATTAATATCAAGCACATCAAAAGCTCGCTTGAAGTGAAAGAACATACATAATGTTTTCTTATTCTGATCCAGGTTCGAGACTATTTGATTATATAAGGAAACTAAGCAGTCTTGAGTAGATAATCCATTGCGAAAGCCAAACTGAGAATTCGAGAATAATTGCACTTCGAATATTTTGTAAAAAACTGATAGAAGTGATATTCCACGGTAATTGGAAATTAAATGGGTATTGTTCTTCTTGTGTATAGGCACAACAGTGGAGTTTTTTAAGGCTGGGAGAAATACACCTTCTAAAAAAGACAGATTAATCAAAGAAGTAAGAGCTTTAACTATAAAATCTGTAACACGTTTTGTTAATGAACAGGGACGCAATAATGCATCGAAGTTCAACACCCGTGAAAGGTGTTATGGAATAGATTTCGATTTGAAGATTTTTTATTAGTTGTTTGTGTTGTTTTTATATTATTTATTATGTATTTAACGGAATATACATAAAAGTCGTTAAATTTTTCAGAGGTCGTGTGTAAATCGACATTCTCGCTACTTTCATCATCAATAAAGTAATCTGGAAACTTTTTATGTTTATATAGGTTACTTTCATTTATTATAATCGTCCACGCCGTTTAAGATTTGTTAACAGAGGTTGTAAGAAGATTATTGTAAAAACTTTTTTTCTTAAGTTGTTTTTGATGTTACTTTTTTATAATTCTATGTTTGCTAAAGTTTCATTACTATTGGTATATTTAAAATATTTGCGCAAGTCTCTAAGTAATTCATACTTTATTTATACTTTATATTTTACTAATAATCCGCAGGTGGCGGGCTTAGCCAGACGCACTCAGCCAATAGAGGAGCTGTCCGCCAAGTTGAAAGGCAAAAAAGGCAAACTTCACGCCATAAAATGCGATGTCACCAAAGAGAGCGACATTAAAAAAGCTTTCTGGGAGGTGAAGAAAATCGGACCGATCCATATCCTGATCAACAACGCTGGGTTGGTGCAGAAAACTACCCTGTACAATGGGGATCCGGAAAAGTGGAAAAATATATTAGGTAACATTGTTAGTTCGATACTCGGTTGGGAAAAACCGTTATGTTTTTCCAGAGGTGAATGTGCTCGGCACGTGTATGGTAACCAAGGAAGCCATCAAGGATATGACCGAGAACAAAGTGGCGGGGCAAATAATCAACATGAACAGCGTCCTTGGTCATTTCGTCTACAATATCCCTGAGGCCAATGTTTATCCAGCTTCGAAACATGCTATTACGGCTCTCACTGAAGCATTGAGACTCGAATTGCTTGATATCGATTCCAGCATTAAAGTGACGGTAAGATTTCGTTGAAAAGAAATTGTTATAGTCTATCCGTTAGCAAGAGAGAGCAAAAAATGAAAATGTAGTTCTTAATTGGTATATAATTATTTACCGTTAGATATCTCATATTTTTGGAATAGCCTTTGACGGTAATTGTCGTAATAACCTTTGATTTGATCGCAATTAGGAATACAACAGATTTACAGCCAAAAAATATTTAATAATTAGTTTAATAAAAAGAGCACTATTTTTAAAATGTTAGAGAGTTAGTTATTTTACACAAGTGCTAGTGTTACGAACAGTTTGTTCTGCGAAATGGGACTAAAACTGCCTCATGTGATCTTACCTTGATTTGAGGTATGAGGTATGTTCAAAAAGTAACTTTTAAGTTTTATCAAAAAGTATTTATTTATTTATCGAAAGGAATGTAGTGCCAATCCTCGAAGCACTTCTGCTAAGCGCTTTCTGGTATAGACTTCCAGCGATTTTCCGGTGAATATGGTGGCTGAGGCACGATTGTGGTTTTGTTTTTGGCCAAAAAGTTAGACACAAGCAACGATGAGTGAGCAGGTGCGTTATCGTAATCCAAAATCCATGAATTGTTTTTATTGCTTCTAGCAAACAGCACATAACCTCCCTTTATTGACCGCATGAAATTGTGGTAAGAACTCTTGAACAGTAAGCAAAACCTTGAGACTTGATCGAACTTGATGTGTTTTTTTCGGTCTTGGCGATTCTGGAAGGACGACAGGGCTTTGGTTTCGACGTTATAACTATATATCCATGATTCGTCACTAGTTATGAGTTTTTTGAGCGTATCAAGATCATCATTCACATGGTTTAACAGCTCTTGAGCGATGCTCCTTCGACGGTCCTTTTATTCAAAATGAAGCAGGTTGTACGAGCCAATAGAGACGTCTTTGGCCACTTCTCTAACAGTGATTCGACGATAATTCAACAAGATTTGTTTACAAAGTCACCTTACTTTTTGAACACACCTCGTATATTAAATTTAATCAGGGCTAGAATATGAGGGGTGTTGTAGTGAGAAATAATTATTTTGTTGAGGCACATTAGAGTTTTCGTCCGGTAAAAAGAGAAAAATATTGAAGCGATTGTCAGTTCATCGTTACCTGTCTGTTTGTTTCATTTTGCTTTTTGTTGCTTGCGCTTGATATCTCTAGAAAAGATAAATTTGAACGCAGGGTACATTTGGGTTTTAGAGCGTCAGTCCTGGCCCGGTGAGCGGTACCGAATTCTTCTCGCAAGATAACCTCCAGGTGCAGGTCAAAGGGTTCCTAAAACCGGAAAATATCACCGACACCGTTATGTTTGTGTTGTCCACGCCGCCGGATATGTTGGTGAGATTTTTTTTCATTATTAAGATTAATTTTTGACATTTGTTGGTTGATTATTAGAATCGGAAATGGATTTTTTGACTGGTTTTCAGGTGGCCGATGTGATCTTGAGACCGTTGAAAGAGCCCTATTGATTTTCCGTCAGATATCCTGTTTCGAGGTGCTCACGAATTTTGATAACGTTAACCTTGGTGCTAATATTGTGAATATTTTATAAATTAGAATAAACAGAAATATCAGCATTGGTGCTTAATTATTTTTATATATTTATGTTTATGCTATATATGTTATTCTTATTATTATTATTATTATTATTTATTTTAATCACGAAAAACGTTCGGGGTTGTCATCAAAATATTCAGAAAACTCACCAGGCACCAGCACTCTTTATAGATACATATCTAAAAAATAGTTGGTTAGCTTTATGTATCTTTTAAAACTGGACATTTATTTAAAAAAAAATATTTTTCGATCTCCAACGTGAAAAAATATGGACAGAGAATTAGAAAATTTTCTTTTAACATTTCCATCTTCGGATTATATTCAATATTGTATACTTCATGTTTTTATAGTTACATATTTTATTTTTTGGAATCTGTTAGCTGCCTTGCTGTAATTATTATATAAAACGCAGGTAAATTATTATCTAGATTCTACAGTCCATGATCTTGATATACAGGAAAATGACTGGTTTAAAAATAATTTTATTTATTGATCACCCAACAACCAGTGGTAATTTAAAATTACCTTAAAAATTAACTAAAAACATATGCGGTCAATTAGAATAATTAAAATACATTTAAAATATTCCTGATAATTTTTTAATAATTTTAAAAACAATGCTTTTGTGTTACTTAGTATGTCTAGTTTATTTTGGTTGATTATGGTCCCAGTCATTACTGGGGATTTCAAATGGTAATTAGTTCTAGGTGTGCTTTTGATGATAAAGGTCTTTTCAACGTGGTTTATTTGGGGCACTTAAATATACCGAACCCAATGTCGCTTTGCCAAAGGCTAAATTATTAATGATTTTAAATAGATGCGTAGTAACTGAGTCATGACTCTTGTGTTCCGCAGTGTTAAAACACTCCATGCTGCTGACATAAGTATCACGTATTTTATATGGTATTTTTCAAAATTCCAAATTCCGCAGGGATTATCATAGAGGTTTATCAGGGATCGAAGAATACATTTTTAAAAATTTTGTTGTTCACAATAAATAAATGATTTTTTTTGTGACTAGGTTATATTTTTCGATGGCGCTGATGTTTCGACTTCTAAAAGTAAGAATATATGGACAGAGCATTACAATTTTGCATATTATATTAGAATCTTAAAATATTAGAATTAAAGTTATACTTTATTTAATATTGTGTATTTATTGTTTTTCTAGTTCGTGCCTGTTTAATGTGAGTAATGTGAATCTAGAAAATCGTTTTCCTACTTCAGAATATTAAAATAACACAATTAAACTTATACTATTTTGAATATTGTATCTTCCTTGTTTTTATGGTTTATATTTAGTTATTTTATTTTTTGAGAGAATCTGGAAGCTGACTCGCTGTTATTATTTTACAAAACGTAAATGAGTATCCAGATTCTACAATCTGTAGTCTAGATAGTAGGAAATTACTCTATTTCATTTGATTATTTATTGGTAAAACTTGCAGGGTGATCACCCAAAAACAAGGTGCAATTACCTTAAAATTAACTTAAAATCTAACAATCACTGTTTACAATTTTTATAAAAAGTTAATGCATCAGGAAAAGATGTCCGAAATCGGCCAATTAAAATTTTTCAATTACGTTTGTAATATTCAAGAATAAATTTTGTAATAATTTTGCAAACAATGTTTTTTTTGTTACTAAATACGTCTATTTAGCTTTTGTATTGATTATAAGATGTAACCGTGTCATGACTGGTAATTAGTTGTAGGTGTGCGTTTGACGATAAAGGTCATGTAACCTTTTTCATTTTTTTTTTATTTTGGACACCGAGCTCAATGTGGCGTTGTTCGATATTTTTATTCTTGTTTGTGACTAAAAGATAACACTTAAAACAAGAGTAACATTTTTTGAGGATTTGTGATTCTGCTAAAATGCAGGGAAAATAAAAAAAATGTTCTAGATAAAGTGTCCTCTAGTGATAGATTTCTGAAACTAACTATGACTTTTACTAAATCGGGGCTGTAAAAATAAAATTTAACTTACTACCATTATTTTAACACGTTAAATCTTTCCTTTAAGCTGTCGAACTCAATTTCCGAACACCCTGTGTGTAGCTGGCAAATTTAAGAAGTTTCTTTTGAACTTTTCCAATCACCCGTATATCTATATTTAATCAAGCTTCCATCGCACAGGAAAATTATTGGCTTCAAAATAATTTTCCTCCAAAAGTTCCAGTAAACAAAAAGCCTAGATCAAACAATTTTGCATTTCTCTAGATCCTAAACTCCGGTATCTTTCAAGGCTCCAAATTCCGGATTACCTAGAGAAAAATTTGTAAAAATTGTTCTTAATTTTCGAAAGAAACATTCACAGGCTACTGTAATACTTTTTACAAAACTTCTAGATTCGTCCAGCGTCGGTTTTTGTTGAGTCTAACTTGCTAACGCTTGCTTTGCCAATTATCCTGTTTGCTTCTTCAGAGCTTAACCAAAACTGACTAGAATTTTGCTCTGTATCTGCTTATATATTGTTTGAGGGGGGCGGAGCTAAATGAGGAGCGTAAACATCGTCTCGGATGACTGATTCCCATATTCGTTAAGACCTGAGTCGCTGTTAGTTTTATCGAATAGTCTTAAGGCTCTATCATGTCCTTTGTTCTTTGCATATGCATGGAATGCTGTAAACTCTCATCTCAAATGGAATTTTGTCTTTGGCGGATCGAAATTGTTGGGAGATTTGTGGAAAAGTGGTCACTCTGGTTTTGACGTTATATTTCTTTAGAACTGTTAATATGTGATCTGTGATGTTTTGAATGTAAGGAAGGGCAACAGTGGCAAGTGTAGGATTGCTTTCGGCCTCATTGCTATTGGATGGTTTTGGTGAAGTGTATTTTGTGATGGAACCTTTAATTTGGAAATTGTTAGAGAGAAGAGCAGAGGTAAGGTGTTTTAATCCTGGGTTTAGCGAGTCTGGTTGAGATAGTTTTACGGCTCTGATAACCGATGATTTTTGGCCCTGATTGTGATGTGACAATGCATGAAGGTATCGGTCTATGTGCGTAGGTTTTCTTTAAACACCCAATGTTAGGTCTGATTTTCTGTTGATAAGAATATCTAAGAATAGGAAGTTATTATTAGACTCAACAAAAGCCGACACAGGACTAATCCAGATGTTTTGTAAAAAGTATTAATTGTTTATCAAACGAACACTGTTTATGCGGTCTTGACATGATGCCACGTCCTTCGTCTACAACATCCAACCTTTGAACGAACGAGCTACACCTTTACACGGTGACGTCAAACCAAATAAGCGGTTTCTTTAAAACGATTTACTTGTTCGACGCGATCCTGCTAATAAATACAGCGAAAAATGGCGGCAATTAAAACGCTCGGCGCTGGCACGACGACGTCGCAATGAACTAATTCGCCGGGCGGATCAATAGCCCGCAGTCGCTAAAAATGGCGAACGCTGACGGGTTGGAATATTACATCAAATTCCCCAGCCCCAATTTCAATTACAACCAGAACAATGGAGATTCGGACTTTGTTTTTGTCGTCAACGAGGAAAAACTGCCCGTCATCTTGCTGTTCGGATGGGCGGGGTGTAAGGACAAGTATCTGGCCAAGTACTCCCAGATTTACGAGGAAAGGGGGTGAGTGGCGGTGCCGGTTCTTTTTTGCCGGGTTTTTAAAAGCGATTAGATACGCATTCCTTTAGTTAAAGTAGACCACGAACCAAGATAAAAATGTGTACTTAGCGATACAGGGAACCAAATGACGTCAAAAAGGCATAACATTTTTACATTAGAGAATTCTTGTAAGATGTGGTATTCTCTTTCTTTAATAATTTTAGTTTTTTACGCAATGCATTAGTTATATAATATAATAAATAATTTTTTTGTACCTAAATCGATTAAAACAATGTGCATTAAGGGGTTAATAATACGATGATTTTTTTTAAAAATTTAGCTACAGGCTTCCTCCTCATTCTATTTATATAAACTATTATACCTTTTCTTGAAGATAATTCAGATAAAGAGCGAACATTTGAAATCCTATTAATAGTTTCAACTTCGCGCAACAAATTACAGTACTATGTGTACGTTCCTCATTTATGGTAAAATTTATTGATTCTCATCAAGAATTTTCAAGAAAAAGTGAATCAAATGTGGAGGTGAAAACGAATTCGTAAGTACATTTTAATTATCCACCGCTGCTAAGAAATCTTTATTAAAAAAAAATGTTCCTGAAGAACCTCAGCACGATCGCGTACAGTATGTTTTGTATTTTAATATGGGCCTTATTTTACGACATTTTAATATTGTCTTAAGTTGCACCCCTTTGGGGGTTTTCTGTTTTCTTAGAGTACCTTTTGCCTTTTAAACTCTTATTTAATTTTTCTTTTAGAAATTTTTTGTATTGTTTTAATATGTAATATGCAAATTATTACTAATGTTACAGCTGATTTGGAAGCTATTTAATTAATCGCGTTAAGCCCGCGGTTTTGGCTGACGATATATATATATATATATATATATATATATATATATATATATATATATATATATATATATATATATATATATATATATATATATATATATATATATATATATATATATATATATATATATATAGCTTCCCTGACTATTCTTTTATATTTGTGTTCTTCTCTGGCAATTGTCCTCGTGTTGTCAAAGTCTATTGTGTGTCCAGTATTCCTTACATGTTGGGCTATTCGTTCGTCTTTGGTTACAGCGTTGCGGTGTTCCTCTCTTCGTACCTGTATCCTTCTGTTTGTCTGGCCAATGTAGCTCTTGTCACAGTCCTTGCAGTGAGATATATATATATATATATATATATATATATATATATATATATATATATATATATATATATATATATATATATATATATATATATATATATATATATATATATATATATATATATATATATATATATATATATATATATATATATATATATATATATATATATATATATATATATATATATATATATATATATATATATATATATATATATATATATATATATATATATATATATATATATTCGATAGCAGCGCCAAAAATTTCCCGTCCTGATTATGAAAGAAACAAAGTGGAGTAACAATTTTTTATCATTTTTCAATATAATTCCCCTTAACTTCAATACACTTATTACATGTCTTTATTAACAACTTTATCCCATTAAAGAAATATTCTTTTGGTTTGTCTGCAAAATGAGCTAAAACAGCCTCTTTTAACTCAACTGCCTGGTTAAACCGCCGTCCACATAAGTCCTTTTTCAAATATCCAAACAAATAATAGTCGCTGGGGGCCATATCTGGACTATAGGGAGGATGATCTACCTGTTGGAACCCACACTCTAAAATGGCAGTTTTAGTCTCGCAATTGATGTAATAATGTTGCGTAATATTTACCATTGTATTAGTTTCTTTAAAATCTATCAAAAGAATTCCTTCACAATCCCCAAAGATCGTGGCCAACACCTTTTTTGTTGACTCTGAATTTTTTTGGAGGTGCTTCACCCTTTTTTCGATAGAGAGCCATAGTTTCATCTCCTATCACAATAGTTTCCATCACAGACTTCGGTACCGACCTACAGAGTTCCAAAAAAGACCGCTTCATCACATCATAGACATCTTCAATGCTGGAGCTCCGAAAACACTTCGACTGTTCCCACACTTTGGGGAAGTATATATTATTAAACCATTATGCAAATTCTATATTTTAGAGAATTTAAAGATATAATCCTTATATTCTTTCCAAAATCATAAAAAAATATATTATAAATTTGGTAATTTCATTCCTTCAAACGAAATTATCGTAGATTGTCAATCAGGCTTTATTAAACAAGTCGAAAATAATGGTAGCTGGTTTATTTTATCCTCCTTATTGCTTTTACTTTACGTAGCTGATATCGATCACTGTATCAAGCAAACTAGTCTTAAAGAGTTCGCTCACGACTCCCAGTTACAAAAGCAGTTTAATCTGGAAAATATAGACGTGGCCCAAGAAAACTTTGAGAGTGATCGCGAGCATATAAATAATTATGCAAAACTCCATACCATTAAAACCTTCAAAAATCAAATCTGTTGATGTTTTGCACCAACAAAGCAAACATAAAAATCCAAGACAAGAATAATAATAATAATAATAATAATAATAATAATAATAATAATAATAATAATAATAATAATAATAATAATAATAATAATAATCGAATAGGCTATTTTTTAGTTACAAATAACCAGAAATATGAACATGATTAAACAACAAGACAAAAAAAAATTCGGTCCAAGCAAAATTAAGGAACAATGGCTATAAAATCAACAATTTATTATTTGATTTTTTCAACTTACGCTGAACAAATCAATGCCTCCTTGAAGTTGACTAACCTCTCAACAACCATAATAAGTAATTACTGTGTTTGTCTAGTGCTTCTTGAAGCTGTATTTAAATTAATGGCAGCTGGAAGTTCAGAAGAATAAACATGAAACTTAGTATTTCATAACCTTATTATATACAATATAAATGTGACAAGCAAATGTTAGATCACTACTAAATGTTATAGGCAGATTCTTCTGAGTATTCATCGCCCACTATATAAGCAAAATAAAATGGACTGTTTTATTTTATTTCAGATCCTGATAGCCGTACATTTGCTAACAACATTTAAATCACACTACCATGTAAATCTATCCGCATTTGCTATATGGTATACATTAAAATTCTACAATTTGGTGGATAATCTCCAATATCACTTATGTTGTCTTTATAAAATTCTTCAATCCTACATCAGTCCTCGGACTCAGTTTGTAGAATTGAATTCTGCAAAATCCCAAACGACCCGCATCACATCTGGAATTCCTCAAGGGTCCCATTTGGGACCATTGTTATTTTCACTGTTTATCACAGATGTCAATAAATGTTTTCTCTTTGCTAAATTAGCATCATACGCAGATGTTCAGAAATCATACGCGCCCGTGAAAAGCCTTAACGACTGTCATAAGTTTCAAGAAGATCTTGATCGTTTTTATGAATACTGTGTAAAAAATCGTCTATTTTTAGCAGGCGGATAAATGATATAAACTTTGACTACACATTCAATGGTGTAAAAATAAAAAAAGTAGAGCAGATTAGGGATCTTGGAATAACTATAGATGTAAAATTAAGTTTTGATATCCACATTGAGAATATAGTAAAAAAAGCTTATAAAAATTTAGGTTTTATATTAAGAGTTAGCAAGGAATTTCAGGATCACAAATCGCTTATTATTCTATACAATTCCTACGTTCGATCTCACCTTGACTATGGCGGTGTGATATGGAGTCCTCAGTATCATAAATATATAGACAGAATCGAGAGAATACAAAAAAGTTTGTTTTCCATTTAAATTTTAGATTTAACCGTAACTTACTAACTCATTCGTATGAAGCTAGTCTTAATTTCTACCATATACTGAAGTTATCTGTTAGAAGAATTATCTCCAGTGCTATATTTTTGCATAATATTATTAATAGTAGGATTGACTGTCCTTTACTGTTGGAAAAACTCTCCTTCAATGCCAGAGTCGTTATAACAAGAACTCCTTCATTATTTTACGTGCCTAGATTCAATACAAACTTAGGTAACAATTCCCCAATATCTCTTTTACATAGACATTACAATAATTATTTTTCGCACATTGACATCTTTGCGTTATCACTTAATTCGTTTCGAAATCAAGCAATTAGGGTTTTTCTATAAATTTATTTTAATTTTTGATTTGTTTTCCTTATTTTTTCACATTTGTTTTTTGTAATTCACGCACTTAATATACAGTGTTAGTTTTGGTTCAGTTTGGTAAGTTTGATTGTTATTATTATTTTTTTTTGTTTTTTATCTTCTGCTTATCGTAGATATAGGTAGGTACTTGCTTATAAGTTTTACTTTGTTAATTAAATAATGGTATAATTGTTAGTGTGTTCTTGTAAATTGTGAAGTTAGTTCTTCATGTTAGTGCACCTTTGTAATAAATAAATAAATAAATAAATAAATAAATAAATAAAATAAATAAATGTAACAGTTAGAAGGGAAAGATGAAAACACTGTACTCCGAAAGTACACTTACATTTGCGTAAATTAAATTATTTACTTTGACAATTTGCACCCTGGCGCTGCATTAGAGTTTCAGGCAGTCCCAATTCTTGCAACTTCCTTAGTAAAAGCAATACCTTCGAATTATCAAACGCTCCTCTTATGGTTGGTGAAATCATATAAGTAATAATTGCATCAAGCAAAACACCAGACCTTAGTGACAGATTAAACAGCATATGTCGATTCAGTTCGGTTCAGCTCAGTTCGAAATGCACATATACGGTTTAAAACTTTGTGGAGATTAAGTGGAGACATCAGAAATCTATTTGGTGACGTTTTGTAGTTTGATAACGCTCCGATACACGGCACCGGTGAAATGCCTTTTCCTGCGGAGGTATCAGATGCCTAGCATCGGGGACAAACTACTTAAACTCCTCCTCGACTTGAATTTCGATAACCACCCGATTATAGTGCACTGTTTTTCCAACGGTGGAGCTTTCCTCTACCAGAATTTCTCATTGGCTGTGGACAAACACGTTAAACCCTTACAGGTAACTGATAAATTATACAGCATATGAGGTGATTCAGACTTTAAGGCACAAACTGAATTTTTTCTATTAATTAAAATATCTCGATGACTTTTAAACGTATAAATTTGAAATTTGACAACCCTCCCTGCATGTACTAAATTGGGTTGTTCAATTTGGAGGATTTTTTTGCTTTTTATTTCGAGAAACGAGCCGCATACTTATTTTAAACACCTATTACGTTTTAAAAAAAAAACACTCTTAATTGAAGGCGTCACTCAATTTGGTAACTGAAATACGTCAGAGGCGTACGACAAAGAAAATAAAGAAATAAAGAATAAGAGAATATTAACTACACCAAATTTGAAATTGATATCTTTAAAAGTGGGTGAAATATCTTAATTAATATAAAAAAATCAATATATTTTGAGCTCCTATTGCGCCGCTACTGATTGAAAGCGGACTTATAATTATATAACTGCGTGAGTTATTGATGAATCGATCTCGTCAAGATTCTGATGCTTATATGCTGCTTGAAGCACCTAACATCTCCTCTTCTCTTAAATAATTTCGACAATGGAGATATTAAACGTCCAATTACAAAATACACTTCATCACAACCTTTCAAAGAAGTCTGAAAGCACCCCCTTAAAAGCCAACAGGATAATTGGCGAGAACTCAGCAAGTTCGATTCATCAGCAACCTTCGCAGGAGGAATCCAGAAGCTTTGTGGATAGTAGTTCAGTAATCTGTGGTAGTATCTTTGAAAAATTAAGGTCTATAGCGTATTTCAGTTTGCGCCTTAAAACGTTTATCACCTTTGCTGAAGCAACAGCATTCCTTTCAGATTAAAGGCATAATATTTGACTCGGCTCCCGGGAGGCGGAGAATTTCGAGCCTGTTTCGGGCCATGTCCGCCATCTTGGAGGGCAACATCATTTACAACCTGTCCGTGTCGTTCGTAATGACGATGTTCCTCTCCGTCATCTGGTTGTACGAGGTACTATTACCAAACAACAAACATTTCGTCATTCTTGAAATTTTGCTTGCCAACTTTTAGATGGTGAACAGCGCATTTTCCACGAAAAAGGTATTTCAAACAGACCCGTTCGAATTCCTAAAGGACGAAGTCAACAGATGCCCTCAGCTTTTCATCTACTCCAAAAACGACCACCTCATTCCGCATACGGTAAGCAAAAAATTGAACATATACATTGTAGATACATGGTAAATACAAGGCACCAAAAACAAATCTCTTTTATAGGCAAGTGGAATGAGATATAGTCTGGCATGCATTATCAAATTGTATAGTTATCAGTCACATGGTTAGCTTGCAATTGTTTTGGGAGAACGGGAAGTAATATTTGCTGAAACTTATGCCACGAGCTTTTTTTACTTTTGCTCTAACGATTAGTTTGTCCGTGCAATGAACATAGTCAAATATATCAAAATAACTTGATTTTTGTAAATAGCTGATGAAGTGAAGTGAAGCCAATTACATATCAAAATATTTAATTACATACAGAAAGCTAATATACAGGATATTGGTAAATTACAGTCAAAATTAATAAAGGCTCAACTACTCTAGCAATAATAAATTACATTGGCTCTTCAGTCAAGAAATATGGAAAATAGTTAATAGGAATATCAAGTATAAAAAAGTTGTCGTTATTTGGCTATTTTAACTATTTACTATTTTTTGACTCACTGTGTATACTTAAAACAACGGCGACGTCACTTCTATAATAAATTACCTCAAAAATTATCAATAAATATCATTTATATTACGACAAATTATCACCTTCATTACTATTGCAAACAGTTTCAGTCAAGCTCTTATAAAAAAAAAACAATCTCTTCTCCCTCGTGATGTACGATTACGCGAAGAGTTCTGTGAGATGATATTGATTAGAATATAGGAAGATCGAGATTTTTTGAAAAGAATTATTTGAACGGACGAGTTAAATTTTTCACGGGATGGTAGAAGATTTGCAACGCCATGTCAGACAGGCTTTTCAACAACTTGATCCAAACAAAATTCAATATACAACAGTTTACAATGTTATGGATGGAGGCGACTTCAAGCATAATATAATTAATTATAAACAATTTAAAACCGTTTGTTAGTCTTTAACATTAGTTTTGTGAATAACAGTTTTTATGAATATTTTGTTTTTGTTGGCATATGTATTTCCTAATAAGGAAATGTTAAGCTTTTTTTTGTCAAAGAAAAATTTGTATTTTTATAACTCGAAACCCAGTGAAAATGGATACAGCACAGTTTGATACTTTTATCCGTCCGTGGACATCCTCAGGATCTTATCCAGTCATATTTAACTGACAGAAGACAGTGTGTTGTCTTTTACAATAACATATCGGAGTTGAGGGTTGTGAGCAGTGGCGTGCCTCAGCGCTCCGTCTTGGGTCCGCTACTGTTCACTATTTACATCAATGACCTGTATCATTTTCTGTTCCCCAATAAATGTACACTTTAAGCGGACGATACATCGTTTGTGACATATGACAAAGACTCCAATGAACTTATGTTGATAATGTTGAGCGGAGGGCGGAACTTTGGTTCACCAACAATAACCTTAAACTAAACACAGATAAGACACATTGTCTTGTTTTCTGAACTAATAATAATCTACTGGAGGGCAAGAATGTAAGACTCTTGGGAGTAACGCCTGACGGTAGTTTAAATTGGGCCACTCATATTAACATCTGTAAAAAACTTGCCTTCTCACTCTCATCTAATCTCATACTTCTTTGGGGTAATTTTGCGACAGCAGACCAGGCATTTAAACTCCAAAAGTTGTTCGTTTGATTGCCGGTGCAGGTTATCTGGAGCACTGTCGACCAATTTTTAAGAAGTTGGAAGTTATGCCACTTGCTTGTCTGTATGTTTATTATCAATTATTAAAAATATACAAAAACATAGACAGCTTCAGTCAGAACTCCTCTTACCATACTAGAACCATACCATACTAGAAATAACAAGCTACTTCGTGCTTCAAGATTCAAATATACCAAAAAAATTCACTAAACTTAAACTTGTACAATAAACTACCAGCTAACGTGAAAGTTGTAAGTAATAGAAAATTAAAAAACAACATCTTAACCTTTCTTAAAAGGCACTGCTTCGGTCGGGGAATACATGGGTAGTCCCACCGTGATTGAGTCAAAGAAGCGTCTGTGAACGGTGTGACTGTGCAATTTCTATAATTTTGTTAATGTTGCTTCCTTTTATTTATCGATATAAACGTACTTTGTTATACAAACTGTTCTTATGTATTATACACTGTTTTATATAATTTAGACACTCTTTATATAATTTATTCATTGTCTTGTTTTTTATATACATATTTTTCTACTTATTGTATCAACAAAAACGTGGTCAATAAATTCTATTATATTCTATTCTATGGCAAATTAATTTCTCATTTACGTGCGAATATAAAATATACGGTGTTCCATTTAAAATTCCTACATAATATGGATTTTTATACCTTGCCAATTGGGTATTTTTTATCTCCGAAAATGTTGAACATGGATATGGTATATGTTACATAAAAAAGTTCCAGAATGTTTCGCGGAATCAAAAAATGTAATAATATACAGGGTGTTCCCTTTAAAACATGATAGTTGATATACGTTACGATAATATCTGGCAACATTGCATGGCTAAAAATATTCCCTTACATAAGTAACTTCATACTTCAAGTTTTTACAGTAAGTCGTTCTCCATAAAAGTCTCATAGGACACTCACCATGAATAACCCTGTTTACTAAATTACCACAATGAAATTCTTGATAGGTTTCTATCAATCCTTATTATATATCCCGTCTTGTCGTGTGATTTTTCGACGATTTAAACCATTTTTTTCTAGGATATCGAGTATTTCGCCGAATACAGAAGAAAGCACGGTGTCGACGTCAAAACAATCTGCTACGAGCGTAGCCTTCACGTTAAGCATTTGCCGGAGAACAGGGAAAGTTACGTAAACAGCGTTTGCAGCTTTATCAACAAATGCCTGAACGGCAATAATTAGTATCTAGACAAGTTACGGAGGACCGATCTAGTACGCTTTAAATTATTAACATCGCGACGTTGCCGCGCCTTCTCTAAAGTCTTCGGAATCAAGGAATGTTTTTTTAATGACTTTAAATTTGGTTCCTCACTTTTCCGGGTTCCCTTATTCAGATTCGATATGCGGACGTGGAGTGGAAACCTTTAAGGAATTCTTTAACTACGCTAAGACGCGTACTTGGCACAAAACGGTTTATTTAGTTCGATATTTCGAAAACCTCTCTTTGGAGTTCCAGTACAAAAAGTGCACCCGAAATCCCGCAAAATAAGAATGAAAACTGCACACGAGATGTTTTATTCTGTGATAGGGTTAACGATATATTTTGTAAAGTTTCTATTGATACGTTGGTTCATTTTTTCGTATGTTTCTTTTAACACGAATTCATATTTTTTATAGACCTAGTCTGTTGGAATTGTTCGTAAACATAAGGTACTAAACGATTGTTCAATTAAACGATTTCAAATGCTGCGCGTGTGTTTTATTTTCTGTTCTATCTTTGCCTTAAAATCGTTTTTATTTTAACATTTTCCATTTTCTTTATTATAATCCTCTTTACTTTTAAAACAAAAGAACCCGAGCAGTTAGGCTATAATTTAGCACTTCATTTTTATCTTTCAATGTGGTCATATTTGATATAAAGTTTAAAAAAATATATTCTCCTGCCGTGGCTTGCTGTCTTGCTAGCTTATTCCTACACGTTTTTTTATTATTTCAAACACCGCTTCACATATTTCCCATTTCCCCCTATTTTCCTTCCTGCTTCTACTATTGAAACAAAATATTCGGTTCTTACTTTTTATAAAAAGTAAATTTAAGTGAAGTTCTTGTTTTATTAATTTTTCCTTACTACGTTGTTTGAATTTATTTTAAAAATTGAACTGAGGAGGCTTTTACTTGATGAAAATCCATTTATCAAAATAAATAAGAACTAAAAGTTCAGAATTTCACGAAATTATATATTTTGACATGACAATTGTTTCGACAACACCGTGTATTTATCAAATGTGTTCTTATTCTTCTTATTTATTATTTTGATAAATGGATTTTCATCAAGTAAGTTCAACATTAATTAAGGTTTTTTGGTAATTTTTCTTATATATAGTGGCACGTATTTTGTAAATATTACATTTGATAAAGACACGGTGTTGTCGAAACAATTGTCATGTCAAAATATATAATTCCGTGAAAATCTGAACTTTTAGTTCTTATCTTTTTGAATTTATTTTACCTTAAATTAAGATAAAAGTTTTTTTATAATTTAGAACTTCCACAGGACAGCCTCAGAGGTATGATTCTGTCTTTTCAAATTATTATTACATTTTTATATTAATTTATTATCTCATCTCCTTTCTATGTTTATAACAAAAAATTAATAAATAATTCTGATTCACTTTGATCATTTATTTATACTTGCTGCTAGGTTATTCCTTTACATTTTTTTTATTATTTGAGCACCCCTTTACAAATTTTTCTTTTTTATTGCCGCCTATTTCCATATTTGGACCAAAATATTTTGTTTCAACCTTTTATAAAAAGTAAATTTAAGTGAAGTTATTATTTTATTTATTTTCCTTTCAATGTAGTTTGAATTCATTTTTCCTTAAAATAAAAATTATATTTTTGTATTAATTTCGTATCTCATCTAGTTTCTATATTTCTAATAAAAAACCTCAATATTTTTTATTTAAAAGTTTTTAATAATTACTAAATTTTTCTGATTCATTCCTGCAAACATTTTTTTATCATTTATTTATTTAGACTTGCTGCTTTGTTAGCTTAGTCCTTCAGATTTTTTTATAATTTGAAACACCGCTTTATAAATTTTTCGATTTTATTGCGTCTTATTTCCATATTTGAATCCTAATATTTTGTTCTCACCCTTTAGAAATAGGCAAATTTAAGTCAAGTTATTGTTTTCAACATTGTTTGAACTCATTTTATCTTAAAAAAAAAAAGAAAAATTCTCATACCATTCCAAAAACTACTCTTCAATTTAGAACTTTCAGAAGACAGCTATAGAGGTTTATGATTCTTTTTTATCAATTTCTTTTATAATTATTAATATAGGTATTTTTGTATTAATTTCTTATCGCATCTCCTTTCTATATTTTATATTTAAAAGTTTTTAAAATATAATAAATATTTCTGATTCCTTCCTGCAAATATATATTTTTTATCTTTTAGAAATGGTTAAATTTACGTCAAGTTATTGTTTTATTCTTTTTTCCTTTCTGCATTGTTTGAATTCATTTGAATTTTAGGACTGATTCTGTTTTATAATTTTTTTTCTAATTATTATTATGTTTTTGTTTTAATTGCTTATCGCATCTCCTTTTAATATTTTTAACAAATAATGGCAATATTTTTTAAAAAATAATAAATATTTCTGATATATTCCTGCAAATATTTTTTTAGTCATTTATTTACTTAGATTTGGTAATTTGCTAGCTCATTCCTTCACATTTTTTTTATTTCAAATACCGCTTCACAAATTTTCCAATTTTATTTTCCTTTGTTAACAGATAATCACAATATTTTTTATCTACGAGTTTTTAAAAAATAATAAATATTTGTGATTTATTCCCGCAAATATTTTTTTATCATTCATTTCTTGAGATTTGCTGCTTTGCTTGCTTATTTTTTCATTTTTTTTTTCAAACACCGCTTCACAAATTTCCCAAATATATTTTCTTTTATTATTGCATCCCATTCCATATTTGTTTTTTGTTTTCATATAAAAAAAAAGGTAAATTTAAGTCAAGTTATTGCTTCATTCTTTTTTTCCTCTGTACGTTTTTCGAATTCATCTTACCTTAAGAAAAAACCAAAAATTCGCCTATTATCCCAAAAACTAAGCCTCAATAAAAAAGTTCCAGAATACAGCTCCAGAGAGTTATGATTCTTTTCTTTTTATTATTATTATTTTTTAATTAATTATTTCTTGTTCTTTTCTATATTTTTAACAAAAAATCCCAACATTTTTTAATTAAAAGTTTTTAAAAAATAATCAATAACAATATTGCTTCACTGCAACTCAAATTTTCAATTTTTATTTGCCCATTGTTTCTTTCCTTTATTATTACATTCTCTTTAGATATTTGGAGGTTATAAAATTAATTCAAGTTGTTGTTTTATTCTTTTGTACTTGGAGTAAGGTCTAGTTTATTTCTTAATTATCTCAGACACTACACCTCAAATTTATTTCGCTTCCACAAGCACCACAGAATTTAATACTCCGTAACGTCTAGCGGAGGACAGCTGTAGTGCCTTATGTTTCTAGGCATGACCATTCCATGCTGAAATCTGGCCACACCCTTCATATAATCAGCCACCGCATCTACCAAAGCGTCGGACACTACCGCCCCAATTCCTGGAACAGCTGCTACAAACACATCTTCGTACTCTTTCTAAAACGCGACCAACTATTTAACATCCCTGCTCATCTACCTTACAATTTACCTCTTCTGCCTCTAGCTCTACACTGATGCTTTCAACCCTAACCGGTTCTTCAACACTTTCTTCTTTCACGTATTCAGGATATACCTCTACCGGAACTTCCGCTATCAATTGAGATTTAAATTTTTCCACTTCCCGGTCAGATTCCCCGGCTGTTTCCTCTTGAAGGGCCCTTAGCCTTTGCAGATCTTCTTCCAACGTTTTCTCATCTTCGAACTGAAATTCAATGGTTCTGGGTTCCTCTACGATCGTGTCGACTGACTCGTACGGCTTGGGTTCGCTGAGTTCAGACCTTTCCTCAGATTTTTCGCTAGCTTCATCAGCAGGCTGATGTCCTTCTTTAGGTTTGAGCTCGTCTTCGTCTTGCAAAGATGCGCTTTCCAAAGTATGCTCCGACTTAGTTTCCTCGCCAGTATCTATAACGTATTCGGATTGATTTATATTCGGGCTTGCACCCAGAAGCGCTTAGAGCATACCAACTTCTTCACCTTGCTTTTCTGACGGATCATCTTCTTTTATCGATACATCGTGTCTGGAAAATAACACAGTTCAAAAGTAATCACATGCTTATGCTAAAAACTTACTCCACAACGGTTTCAGACTTGCCCTCTTCCTCTTGAGGTTCCAAGATGTAGTCCAACGAATTACGATCGTCGTCTAAAAGACTCGGACATGACACGATTTCTTGACTGACGTCTCGTTTCACGCTCACATCCAGGCTTTCCGTACTCGTCTTGGTCTCCTCACTGAAAAAAAAAGCCATTAATATTGCTTCAGATGGTAAAACTAATCAATAGTGCAGCACCTCGGTTCCTCTACAATCGACTCTTGGGCTTCCTCCTCCGCAACTTCTTGCTTCTTAACCTTTTCCCTCCACAGAGCTAGTAGACTGTCTCTGAAGTGGTAGTTTTTGAGAACTTGGTCGGTAGACGCGTCAATTTTCGCCAAAAACTTGTACAGATCCATGAACGTTGTCAAAGATATGGCGGCAGAGCCCCCTTCCGGTTCTTCGGTTAGGATTTCGCATACCAAAATCATCGTGCACGAGAGGTCCTTAAGATAAATGAGATTCTGGAATTACGAATTTACGCAATTTGGGCACTCACATCTGTCAAATGAGCAGCACAGAGAGCGATAAACCTCCGACATGGTATGGCGTTGGGATCGTCGAAACCGCCGAGACAGAGAATTTGCACTAGGGTACTATGTTCGAAGCAAGCACCGATCCATCTGTCCCAGAGGTATCTGAAGGTCGTCGTCTGATTGTTTTGCATCTGACTGTTCAGGGTCTTAAGCCATCCTGGTGTGACGCCGTGGTGGTCCCGAGGTACCGGGTACTCTAGTCGTGGTTTCACTGGAGGTGGTATGTTCAACGATAGACAACGAAAGTAAGCACTCGACCATCTGTAACGGAGGCTATCAGAAAGAGTAACTATTAATGTACTTGTAGTACCTTAGCAAATCTACTGGCTGGGTCCTAATGGCAGCTTTCGCGTACTGCCTCAGCAAGTACGGGAAAGCTGGTGGTATGGATATTTGTTCAGTACAATACACGTCGTCCGGCACCGTTGACATCTTTGAAATAATTGTTTGGGTCGACGTTACCATAGCGACGCCCAGTATCGATTGCGAATCAGAGATGTGATTACAATCGTTCATCAATGGGGGGTAAATAAACACATTAAAATGGTATATTTTAATTTGAGCGGCGTGTCTGGATTGTCATGAATAATATTTACTTTTCGTATACAGGGCTGGAAATGATTGCGGTAATTAAGACAAAATGTTCGTTGACGTTGGACGATGGTTGTGCTTTCGCAACCGGACAATTTCATTAGCCGACCCCGTAAAAAACCTCGAACTAAAATATTAATGGCTCATAGGTAGCCCCTTTTTCGAATTCTAGTATAAACAATTCTTACGCATCGGAACAGGATATAATTAAAAGACTTTATCATTTGGTTTATATATGTATTAGGTGTTGGGTATATGACAACTAGCTGCATGGTAAGTAGTAAAGCAACTTTAACAATCTCCTTGTATACGAAAAACCAAAACTTGTTACTATGAAACGACCCATTATTAACCATTTAGGTTTCTAAAAATATATTTGTTTACAAAATGGCGGAAGATGAATATCACGTCATCGCCTTGTATGCGAAATGAAACCTCGGAAAACAATTTCAACGGTCACGTTAATTACGCAGATAGTGATCGACAAACATGTTTTGATTCTTGCACGTGCAACCTCTATTTCCGTAAACAGCTTTCCATGAACCAAGTTGTATTGCATTGTTAGAAACTCTCGAAGAGATCATCGCCGATAATGTTTCCCAAGTATTTAGAAGATTTGACTCTCTCCGAAGAGAGTTACAGAATCTTGGAGCCTTTGGTGGTCACTAGTCGGCTCTTAGGCCTCTGCCCGGTGACGTTTAAAAAAATTGGCACTATTTACAAGCTGAAATGGTCAGCGGCGTTTCTAATTTACAGTTATGCCAGTGTGGTAGCATTGGGTAAGTTCAACGAGCTCTATCTGTATATAATAATTGCTAAGATAGAGTATTTAGCGTCCCTTACGATGGTCGGACTGATTTCGGACAGCCGACAAGAGGCAGACGCCGTACGTATGAAAGATAGGAAGACAACTTACATCACGGCCTGCGATTTTAGCACGGTAATATTTATAGATCTATTCAGCGTGGTATCGATTCCGTACAGAATGAAAAACTTCTGGCATATGGTGGGCATCTGGAGCGATGTAGAGTTTGAAAAAAATAAGCAGTTTGCCATATTTATCGATTTTGTTTTAAGATTGACGCGTTGGCACCATTGAACGGGTACTCCACCTCGCGCAGGTGCTCCATAATTTTCCTGATGGTAGCAATGGCAGCTACGACACTTCTGTTTTGCTACGACATGTTTTCGTACGCGGTCGAAGCAAGTTGTAGGACTTGCTTCCTCACAAATTTCACAGCGTACTATCTACTCTACTTCATGATATTCTTCCAAGGCGTTTTCATCTGGCACCTTCTTTATTTCATCAACATCCGGATCGTTTCTTTGAACCGATGTCTCGATATCGAAAAGAAGAGATTGAAGCAAGGCACCAAGAAAATATTCGTAATACCCTATAAAATTACGAATGGAGCAAATGACGATCAGAAATCAAGGGCGGATAGTCCTGACGTAGGTTAGTATTGGTGGTCTGTCTATAACGTCGCTACATTCAAGATGTTGTCCGAATCTTTACAGCCGCGCGTATCGCGGAGCTGCTAAAAGTTTACGATCGAATCAGAGAGTCGGTTTTCATTTTCAACACGAGTCCGTCATTTGGTGTTGTGGTGAGCAAGCTTCTCTCAGGGGAAAAGACGATTACGCACAAAGTACTCTTTTCAGATGTTGATACTGAGTTGCCTTATCCATTTGGTCGTATCCCCTTACTTTCTCCTGCTGGAAATCATAAGAAGGGGCAGCACCTTATTTACGACGCTGTACTTGTTATGGGTGATAGCCCATACGGGTAGACTGCTTATGATTGTCGAACCATGCCACAGGTGTCTCAGCGAGGTGAGATTTTTCGCGACAGCAAAAATCGGTATTGGTGCCTTAAAATTTCAGATTACTATCACCAAATCGTTGATCTGTGAACTGATGAGGCTGTACGTCGATCGGGACGTTAACAAGACTGTAAGATTTAGCGTGTTTATCGGAATTTAATTTCTAATTGGTTATTTCGCAGCTGAAGCACTTCCTGGCGCACTTGTCTCTATGCGAAATTACTTTTGAAGGCTGCGGGTTCTTTGTTATCAGTCGAAATCTTTTGACTACGGTAATACGCTGAGAATTAACCAACGGAGGCAGTTTTGCCGTATATATTGTAATTTCAGATCGCCGGGGCTGTCACTACTTACTTGGTCATCCTCTTTCAGTTTAATAACACTTGAAGAAGGCACTGCGCCGTAGACTTGCATGTATTTTCAAACAGCAATAAATGACGTCCAAAATCATGCAGCAATTTTTCTGCATCTTTTTTCGTTAGAGAATATGCTGCAAGTTTCCGCAATGTGAAGCGGAAATCAGGAAGAGAGATTGCAAGCCACAGACCCTTTTTATTTGTCATTGGAATTAATGATTTGGTGCATTTCATCATATCGATTATTATTATTATTAATATTTTTTAACTGCAAAAAGAAGACTTAATTTTCCTTTAAATGTCGTTCCTTAAGATCACCTCGAACAAGATTAACTGTAAAATACGTTCATATAATTACTTTTTTTGGAATTAGAATTTTTACACCCTTGTGTGAGACTCGACTACCAGCGGATTTCCCTGAAGCCTAAACTCTCAAGTCTCAGTGTTCTAGCTGTAATCGACACAGATATCACTTCTGAGTTGCACTGGTTCTAAACCAAGTCAGTGAGTTGTGGTTAAATTGATAGTGTTATGTAGTGCAAGATTTCGTTAGCTTTTAGAGCGTTCCATAGCAATTTCTATATCTTTCAGATTGGACATTAAAAAAATGTGTGTTTGATATCCGGGGTAAGCTCTCTTATAATTACAGTCACAACAGGTGCAGATGTGTGGATGTGGCAAACAATTGTTTGCTTCATCAAGAGAATAACGATGAAATTCTTTTAATTATGAGCTTATATATTGTCCTGTTTACTTTGTTGTTGTTCCTTGTATGTACGAGGTTACCGCCAAAATTTCCCGGCCTGACATAGATGCAGCTCCAGTATCACGATAAAACTTTGTCTTTTTTTAAATATGTATCTTAGTAGGCTGCAAAAAAAATTGAAGTCTTGCGTCAAATAGTTTTTTATTGACAGCATTTTAAAAAAGACGTGTCCGAAAAAATGTCGCACATAACGCAAATTGAGTATAGGGCAGTCATAAAGGTTTTGACAAAAGAAGCGTTAGCACCTAAAATTATGAAAGAAAGGCTGGATTGTGTGTACGGCCAAAGTTCTCCTTCGTATTCTGTAGTAAAAGAATGGGCAAAACATTTTCGAATGAGGCAGGAGTCCCTTGAAGATGATTCAAGAATTGGTCGACCAGTGAAGGTCATAACGGAAGATATTGTTGCGATCGACTTTTAAAGGTCAAGGAAATCTCAGAAATTACTAAGCTTTCTGATACAAGTGTTCGTCGAATCCTGCATGATCATTTAGGTATGCACAAGGTTAGCGCAAGATGGGTTCCTAAAAACCTTTCCGCTATTCAAAAACAACGCCGTGTCGAGTGTGCGCGGTTTTTTTTGGAACCGAAGCCTGTGATAGAAACTATTGTGAAGGGAGATGAAACTATGGTTCACTATTATGATCCTCTATCGAAAAAAGAATCAATGGAGTGACCTCCAAGAAAATTCAGAGTCTGCTAGTCAACAAAAAAGTGAAGACCACGATCTTTTGGGATTGTGAAGATTTTAAAGAAACTAATACCACTGTCAATGGTAAATATTACTCAACATTATTACATAAATTGCGAGTCTGCATACGTGTAAAACGTCGAGGAAAACTGACCAGAGGCGTGCGTCTTTTGCACGATAATGCACCTGTCCATACTGTTGGTGCTGCACAAGCTGCCATTTTAGAGTGTGGGTTCCAACAGATAGATCATCCTCCCTATAGTCCAGATATGGCCCCCAGCGACTATTATTTGTTTGAATATTTGAAAAAGGACTTACGTGGACGGCGGTTTAACGACGAAGTTGAGTTAAAAGACGCTGTTTTAGCTCATTTTGCAGACAAACCAAAAGATTTTTTTTTAAGGGATTGAGTTGTTAATAAAGAGATGTAATAATTGTATTGAAGTTAAGGGGGATTATATTGGAAAATAATAAATAGGTGTTGCTGATCAGATCTCTCTTGATGTATTTGTTTTCTTCCTTGCCGACACGCACTGGAAAATGCCTTAATCTGATCTAATCAACAAACGGGACTCGAAATACCCCAAAAGGTCCAGGCAGCTATGGAGGAGAAAAGAAAACAAACAGCTGAGTACAATAACAGATTCAAACAGCCCTCAGTTCCGAAAATACACTCCTCTGTGCACTCATTAAGACAACATCCTCTGAGCAGAAGGACGCAAAAAACTGCATACATAAAGTCCCCTGTCAATGCGGAAAGGTGTTAAGGCATACAAGTGTAAAGCGAGAAGAGACAACAAAATCCGGAATAGCACAGCACGCACAAGAAAAGCAATACCGAATTCTCAGCAATAATAGTTCAGGAAGCAGTTTTTATCCAGGGAAACCAAGAGACCCACCACCACCACTAGTTGTTATACTGAAGACCACAATCAAAGACCTCACACAGTAGCAACCAGCAGTCACACTTCATCGGCCAGTAGTATTTTAGTAGTTAGTACTTAGTTTGGGACGAGATATAATTTAAAACAAAGGCAATGGAAGTTTAAACAGTCAATATTTTTTGATAACTTAATAATAATGATAATTCATCAATCAATTTTCTAGTCGTTTATTCGACGATTGGGAATGGTTCGTCTTGTAAACAAAGTGTTCTCATTTTTCATTCTTATCTGCAATGTAGTTGTCGCTATAACTCCGCCCATTTGAGTCAGTTAAAAATTAAAACACGAATGGTTAAATGCAAACTTTGAATCTTGGAATTGTTTGTAGTCTACCGAGATGGATATAGTGTTAACGAACGAGCAATATACGGTATTAAGACCTATTATTTCAACATGCAGATTCATCGGCTTTTGTCCGATATCTTCTACCAAATCTCGTAATCGCTACAAGCTGAATCGATCAAGGTTTTTCAGTATTTATAGTCAAGTCCTGTTCGTCACGGTAAGTAAGTATCCCACCAGTCCTCCACAGCAAGCTGGTATTGACGCTTCTATAATTTCAAGCCGTCTTCGCCGTCAAATTATTCCTCGATAAAATTAAAAGCGCTAGGTACACCTTTCAAACACTGTTTTTCGAATTCTTTGATATAAGTTATGCGACGGCAATGATTCTATTTCTGTTCCTCACCAATCGAAGCAGAATGGACGATTTTTTCAAACTGCTCGGTACCTGGACGCAAGTACGTAGATCCACCAAAAAATCGCATTCGGAATTACAGTAATCTTCTTGTAGATCGACCTCATGTTGCCCAACGTTGATTTTAGAAACTACGGAAAGCTGTCCATCAAAATTATTGTTTCAGTGGTCGTAGGACTTACAGCGATAATCGCATTAGATATGTGGGTCAACATCGGGACGGATTATATCACAGCTAATCAACTTGTCGGTCTCATATCGTTCCACTACCTAATATACATCATGTTCTACTTCCTAGAGGTGTTCATATTGCACATGGTAATGTTCACTCAGATGAGACTCGATTGCATCAATGAATGTTTGAGAAACGAAACTGAGCGCCGCCGCATCGAATCCGGTTCTCAGCCTTCATTTTGTTCGATAACAAATAATTGCATGTAGGTTTCAGCCAAGAGAATCCTAGTTTTGGCAAGATGCCATTTCCACATTGGACACTGCGCGACAATTATAAGTCAGAGCAACTCTTTTGCAATCGCGATGACGATGATGTCTTCTATGACCCGCCTTATCTTCACCTTCTTTGCAATGTTGAAGTTTATCCAAGGCAACCAGGACGTGTCGAATGTTGTCGTTCAGTTTTTATGGGTGATTGTTCACGCAGTGGGGGCACTGATGATCATCCAAACTTGCCAGAGATGCACTAACGGCGTAGGGGATTAGGTTATGTAACGAAAACGTAACCAAGTCCGTTGTTTTAGGCGAAATATTCGGAGAGTTTAGTTTGCTGCCTTTTGCGGATGGACCTTGACCAGGAAACTAGAAAATCGGTAGGCAATTCGACTGTCTACGACATGCAAAGACAGTAGAAATGCTAAGAGATTGACGAAGTTCCATTATCTTTATGTTTTGTTTACGTAACGTTTCGGGCAGACTAATTTTTAAAATAAATAAGAACTAGAAGTTCAGATTTTCACGAAATTATATATTTTGACATGACAATTGAACTTTTAGTTTTTATTTATTTCTAGAGTTAATAATAATAATAAACTGTCTTTATTGAAAATCAAAATATTGCAATATTAGTAATAATACAAAGATGGCAAAATACACATCCGCAGGTATTTCATTAAATATTTTAACTGCGACATAGCTAAAAGATCTCTGGAAAGTTACCGAATTGTGCCTAGGAACGCAATATCACAAACAATGACTTATGTGTCAATTATGAATATTATTTCTTCTGCAAAGTTTATCAAACAAGTACAACGGGTTCTTATTGGAGTTTAGAAAAAAAAAACAAAGGTGGCTAACTCAACTTTATAACGGTCCTCCAGCTTGAATCAGAGAGGCACCGGGAAATATGGTTATACTTTCTGAGATTATAATTAAAACGATTACAAGCATTCTGAAGTCGTTGGAGTATCTTCTTATCTCGAATAAGAACAGCTGGTCAATAGACGATACTGCAATAACATATCACAAAGTTTAAGTTTCATTTCGTTACTGAGAAAATGTTAATGAATATACAATGTCCTTAACTTATAGAAGGATCCTTGTAACACCGAGCCAACATGCTTAGAAAACCGCAAGTCACCGTCAAACCATAATCCTAAATTTTTACACTTATCTGAAGGAGAGATAATCTCATCATTTAGCGTAATCTTAGAAAAGGCATTTCTTACAATATCTTCCCTTTTATTAGTATTCCATAAGATGTTATGAGCCGCAGACACCTCCGGAATTATTTATAGATTTCAATTTATTTTAGTAGCAACATTTAAAGCTTCGCTAGTAACAAAAAAAAATTATTGAGGATCATCGGCGTATTGATGAGATTTACAAAATTTAAGAAAAGTAGAGAAGTCAGCTGTATAAACTGAGAACAGAATAGGTCCTAGAATACTCCCCTGGGAACACCCATCTTCAAAGCAATGGTATCTCTGACAAAGAATTTTTTTAAAAAATCAAGAATTTCAGTTTAATTAAGAGAA